AGGGACTGTCCTCTGTGTCTGTGACACTGCCAGTCTGGGTGTCCAGGGACTGACCTCGGTGCCTGTGACACTGTCATTCGGGTGTCCGGGGACTGTCATTGTGTTTGTGACACTGCCAGTCTGGGTGTCTGGGGACTGTCATTATGTCTGTGACACTGCCAGCCTGGGTGTCCAGGGCCTGGAATGTCACCATAAGGTATTGGGGACTGACTGAACTCCAGTGTGTGTGGGGCTGTCCCCAGGAGCGAAGGGCCAGTGGCACAATGACCCATTCACAGTCTCACACTCTCACATTCACACACAGTCACACACAATACACACACATTCAATCACACACATATTCTCTCACATACATTCATCACACTCACATTCAATCACACACCCAGTCACACACAGTGACTTATATTGACACAAGTCACACTCTCACACACATGAATTCACACCCATACAGTCACAACTCACACATTCACTCACACACTCAGCTACTCTCTCACACACATTCACCAACACACATTCACTCACACTCACAAATACTCAGTCACACACATTTACTCACACACACACTCACACACATTCACTTACACTCAGTCACACCCTCACACACAGTCTCAATCTCACACAACATTCACTCACACTCACAAGGCACTCCACAGAACCAGAGGAAGAGAACCAGCCGCCAGCTCTGGGTGCCCAGCCTCCTGCACCAGCAGCACCGGGAGGGAGGGATCGGACACCCCAGGGGCAGGGGCCTTTCCCGGGGAGGCACTGCCTCTCTGGGTCCTGGGCCTGGTGCCCCCCAGCAGCTCAGGGAGTTAACAGCACATCGGGGTACTGCCCACACCCTCGGACCCTGCTCCTGCTCACCCCGGGAGGCTGCTCTCAGCGGTGAGTCTCCATAGTGCTGTTGCTTCTGAGCGGGCCCCTAAGGTCCACCACAGCCTGTCTGCCCCGCCGGCCCCCCGCAGCCCCCAACACGGTGACGGGGTCTTCGTGAGCACGGCAGGCTGGCCACACGAGGCCTGGTTCAGGAGCTTGGTTTGCATTAGTGACTTACTCCCCGAGGTAAACTGAAAGTTCTTCAGCTTGCTCACCCCTGTTGGGTTGAGTTGTGTGATGAGTGGTTTTGGCCCACTGCGGATTAACCCAGCCTGACCTCGGTCCTCACGTCCAGGGACCGTCCAGCCGTGTCTCAGCACAGCCGCCCAGGAGCCCTGAGCATGTGGCTTCCCGGCTGCATCTGCACCTTTTTTCCTGATGCTGCAGCCAGGATGGAAAGGGTACCGCGGGGACGGGGGGTGGGGGGTGGGGGGAAATGGAGGCCCAGAGCCAAGCCTGGGGTTGGAGGGCCAGGGGGTGCTCTTGTGTCAGGGACTGTGGACAAAATAAGCCCCTGGAGCCTGGACAGCAAATTGGCCATGCAGGTAAGGAAGAGACAGGAAGAGACCTGTCGGCTGGGATGGGTGGGGGGGGCCCAGGCCCAGCGGGGTGGGGGGGCGCGGGCTCAGCGTGCGTGCGGGGCCGGAAGACCGCGGTGGGGGCTGTGGGGGGTGCGCCAGACACGGGACCCCGGCCCAGGCTCTCGGAGGGGCAGGGACCCCTCCCGGCTGGCTGACGGGGAGGGGCGGGGCGCGGCCGTCGCCTCAGGGCCGCCAGCCAATGGGAGGCCGCCCCGATGCTGTAATGCCCCGGTGCCGCCTCTCATTGGCCAGCGCTCTCGCCCCGCCCACTGCGCGCTTCTCCCGCCTCTCATCAGCACCAGCCGCTGCCGAGGCGGCCGGCCGGACTGACACGGCGGCCTGGGTGGGCCTGGGGGCCCTGGGGCCGGCTGGAAGGGACTGTCCGGCACAGCCCGACCCCCAGCACTGCCCTGGCCGAAAGTGTTTCCCCACTAGTGACTCGCACAATCACATTCCACACGGGACCGACGTCCAGGAGGGTGCAAAGGCCGCGGGTCACCTGGGGACCCCCGAGCCAGCAAGAGCTGCTCACACAGGAGGGGCCCGAGCCCTCGCTGGGCCCCAGCAGCGTCCCGGGTGCCTCCTGAGCTGATAGGGGGAGGGGGTGGCGCCCAGACTGTCCTCCCTGAGCCCCCCGCGTGCTTCCCACCGTGGGAGAGCGGGTGGCTCTGGGGTCTTGCCAGCCCAGCTCTGTAGAGCAGCACCAGCTTCCAGGGCTGTGCCAGGCGCCAGGGACCCGGAATGCCAGTGCCCACCCACCCCTCACTGCCCTCTGGTTCCTGCTGGGGGTGGGGTAGCGAGAGCTCATCTGCAAAGGATGGTGCAGGCTGCGGAGTGAATGAGGACGGAATCCTCCAGGACCCCGTTGCCATAGGAACCGGAGGCTCCCTGATCAATGGCGGCTCCGCCCCTGCGTCTTGCTGGAACTTCCTGCACATGCATGTTTCATGAGGGCGCGGCTGCATTCCGGTGGGCAGCAGCCCCGTGCCCTCCTCCTCCAGGGAGCAGGGGGGCTGGTGTCTTTGTACCCCCAAACCCAGAGGGCACGTGGACTGACTCCCACTGGCCTGCCGAGTTGGACCAGCAGCTCAGGGCCGGTATCGGGGCCCCAAGGCCAGGGGAGACAGTTCCTGTGTGTGTGTGTGTGTGGGGAGGGGACAGTTCCTGGGTGTATGGGGACAGCTCTTGGGTGTGTGTGTGGAGACAGTTCCTGGGTGTGTGTGGACAGCTCCTGGGGGTGTGTGGGGGGAGGGGACAGTTCCTGGGTGTATGTGGACAGTTCCTGGGTGTGTGAGTGTGTGTGCTCCTGGGGGGAGCAGTTCCCGGGGTGTGGCCAGTCCTAACCCACTGGAGTCTGTGGTGCTTGGGGCAGGGGTGCCGCGGAGGGTGTAGGACTAAGGGCCAAGCCCTGTGCAGCCTCCTGGGTCCTGCTCAGACCCCCCAGCACTGAGCACTGAGCCGCCCTCCTCACACCTGCACTGAGGACAGGGGAGCCCGGTTCCCTGTGCTGCACCCCTGCCCAGCCCTCAGTGCCACTCGCTGGATGAAGCCAGCCCTGATGTGTGTCGCCTGCCAGACCTGCAGCCCCGCGCTGCTCCACTCGTGGGCTGGAGCCACGGCAGCGCAGAAGCTGTGCTCTGGCCCTTGTGACCCGCACTCGCTCCCTTGCAGCCTGGAGCAGCTCAGCGTCTTTCCTCAGCCACGTGGGCCCAAACACGGTGCTCGCAGAACCCACCCTCTCCAGCACGGGGTGGGCAGCAGTGCCGCAGGGCGCCGGGAGGCCGTCTGGTCCCAGGGCCCAGGGTCGCCAGTCACCCGGGGAAGACCTGGAACTGACCCCCGCAGCTCTACAACCCACCAGGCCCCAACCCGGGGGTTACCTCAGCTGACCATGGAGGGGTGGGAGAGCTGCCACTGCCCACCCAGGAGGAGGCCCAGCCCGGCAGGTCTGCTTTGCTGCCCTCTTGACTCCCAGGCCTGGCAGCTGGCTGGGTGCAGGAATGGCCGTCCGTGCCGCTGTCCAGCGCCAGTGAGCACCTCAGGGCCCACCCCAGGGCCCTGCGGAGGCTGAATGTGAGGCGGAGCACTGGGCGCTGCTGGGGAGGGAAAGGGCAGCGAGAGCCGGCCGTGTGCGGGTGTGAGTGTCCTGGTGGAGCTGCTCGTGGCTGGTGGGCCCAGACCAAGGGTCTGAGCACTGTCAGAGCGAGCCCCGAGAGGAGGGGCAGGAGGGGGCCCTGGGCAGCTCGGGAGCTGCGGGCACTGATACCCAAGCCCAAATCTGTCCGAACCCACCCCGGCACCCCTTCAGCCCCAGGAGTCCGCGGGCGGCTCCAGCTGACAGATGAGCCTGGGCGGTGGGTGGGTGGTTCTGCTTTATTCAAGGCTGAGACAAATGCGTGCGCAGAGCCGGGGGCAGAGGTGGGGGCGCTGCGTCCCCGTCCTCGCGAGCGGTGAGGCGGCCTTGGAAAGGCTCGTGCTCTCGTCCCCCTCTCGGAGCTGGCTCCGTCAGTCGCCAGGCGGTTCAGAGAAGAATGGGGTCTCCACCACAGCAGGGCTTGTGGCCGGCCCGGGGGCAGAGATCAGCTCCTCCTGGGCTGGTGGTGGGCGGTGAGGTCAGTCCGGCCCCTGCCTGGCGAGCTCTGTGCTCCCCTCACCCAGGAAGGGCCTGAGACGGCCCCAGCAGGGGCGCTTACACGGGACCAACGCTGATGTCCAGGGGTCTGTGCATGCATGGAATCAGCACTGAGGTGTGGGTGGCTGTGCACGCGTGTGCCCGTTGTCTGCTGGGCATGGGTCACAGATCGGGCAGCACATGGGCGCGTAGATGGACAGACAAGATGCTGACCCGCTTCTGGGTATGTGTGCATGTGTGTGTGAGCATGTGTTGGGGTATGTGACTGCGCATATGTGACTGCTTGTGTGCTGGTGACTGTGCATATGTGGCTGTGTTGATGTGTGACCGGGCACATGTGTGCATGCGTGTGTGTCCGTGCACGCGTGAGGCACAAACTCTGGGTGCTTTCTAGGAAGCTCTGCAGGGGGCAGGGCCCGCTCAGGACTGGAGCCGGTGCGTTGAGTCCTGAGGCCCTGAGTCCTGTCCCTGGCCTGGAGGACTCCCAGCCACAAGGCACCTCTGGAAGTGGCCCAGGCCCAAGCTCTGCTGGGGATCCCTCGCCCCGGGCTAAGCCCCAGGGCTGCCCTGTCCAACCCCTGTGCAGGGCTCTCGGAGGCACAATGGTGTCCACTGATGGCTGGTTCCAAGCCCCCGAGGACGAGACCCCCGTGGAGAGAGAAGCCATCTCTTTGAGATGCTTCTAGAAGTCGCCGTCAGACAGGCAAACCTCCTAGTGACACTGAGTCCCTGGTGCAAGTGTGGCCCGTAGGGCGGCCACCTGCCCCCGGCCCCGCCCCCTGGCCCTGCCCTGCTTCTGAGCCTCCTGTCTCCGGGGCTCGGCGTGGACGGGGTGTTAAGAGTGGATAGGGTTGGTGTGGATGGGCCTCACCGTGGATGGGCCGGGGAGTACCTGGGTGCCGCAGGCCCCAGGACCCCCAGGTGTGCAGTGCAGGCTGGCCCAGGCGGGCGGGGGTCAGAAGCGGCCCTGCACGCCGAGCACCCGCACGGCCGCCTCCTGCAGGGCGCGGTGCACACGGCCGGCCTCCTGCTGCGTCAGTGTCCGCTCCATGTGGCGGTAGGTGATCCGGTAGCAGTGGCTGGTCCGGAGTGTCCTGCAGGGAGATGGGGTGAGTGGCCTGGGCTGGCAGCTGCCCCGACAGAGAAGCCGCCCCTGGATGCGCGTGGACAGGCCGGTTCCCTATCCCCGCCCCACTCCCACGCAGACCTGAGCAGCAGGGCTCGAGTCTGCGGGTTGCCTCGATGGGTCGGGGCTCCCCACGCCCAGGGACCCAGAGCCACAGCCGTGTGCGAGGGTGTGATCCGGCCACTGGCTTCTGCCACCAGCCAGGGCTGGAAGAGGCGGGTATCCCGGGGGACAGGAGTGACACCCCCCCCCCCCCCAGCCTGTCTTCAGGGGAGGAGCTGTCTTCTCTGGGTTTTTGGGTTAGGGCTGCCACTGAGACGGGGAGTCGCCCGCAACATCCCCTGAGAGGCTTCAGAGACCACGTCACAGGGAGACACTCGCCCCATGACCCCGCCAGATGCAGCTGTGAGCCCTCCCCAGAGGGGCCAGCACTGCCCATGACTGAGGGGAAACCGAGGCACGGGAGACAAAAAGACATGCAACAAATCCCCCACACGGCCTCACCTAGAGCGTCCAGAAAACGCATGGGTATGGACATAGGAACCCGGGCCAGATACTTCCTGTTTGCGAGCTCTCTGCATCTGACACTTCCTGTCTGTCTGTCTCTGCACTCAACACTTCCTATCTCTGCACCCAGCACTTCCTGTCTCTGCGTCCAACACTTCCTTTCTGTCTCTGCACCTGACACTTCCTGTCTGTCTGTCTCTGTGCCCAGCACTTCCTGTTAGCCCCACTCCAGGCTGCCCGGTGATCTGTCCCCACGCGTAGGGCTGCAGGACAATTTCCTCACACCATGCTCTTTACAGACAGCAGGGGTGGGAGGGGCATGGACTGTCCTCCACCTCTCAGGACTGGATCTGCTCACGAGATGAAGCCCCACGCGTGCAGGGGGACACCCCATGGGCGAGCTCTCAGACAGAGCACTGCACACAGTATGTGACCGTCACAGTGTTGGAATTTTAGGCAGTTTTAACATTTCTTCTCTCTCAAATTCAGTTGTTTTACTTATACAGCCTTTTAAAGACTATGTTTCGAGCTGGTATTTGTACATGAATCTTTTTAATGCGATCAAGCTAAACTTGGGCAAAGTCTGTACCCGACTTAGGAGACCACTTATTACTCGAAACAGCAGAGCAAACCCAGCTTGATGGTCTCTCGGCCCCTGGAGCCGTGGGCTCACATCCCCTCACTCAGGGTCTGTGCTAAGTGTGCTGCATTTAACGCAGGAAGGGTGCAGGAGGGATTCGTGACTCTGCTTGCTAGGACCATCTGGTGTTGCCTTTAATAAAGACGTTTTGCAGAAATAATGATACGAAAGTGACTCTAAGCTTTCACAGAAGTCAGATGTTTCTGGCACCAAATATGCAGCTGCTGTGAGTCTGGACCTTCGTATCTGGAGCCCTCGGGCTCCTGGGCCCCCCTATCCTGCAAGGGGAGGCAAAGCATCCCCAGGGTGCTGCCTGTGCTGTCTCCTCAGATGTGCCACCTTGGGCTAGCTGGGTGGGTTCCGGAGGGGTCAGGCCGGGTAGCTGCGAAGGCATTAGCCCCCTTTTGCCCACCTCCCCTCCATCAGGCTGACCCCCACGGCCCTGCCATCGGTGCCCCATGAACTCCCTCGGAGGGCCGGTAGGGGCGGGAGGGTCTGCCCATGAGGCCACGGGGTACCCAACACAAGGCTCCAGGAAACCTCGTAAAGTCTGCGCAGCTCCTCGTGGCCGGACGGGCCCTGTGAGCTCTCTCACGGGCATCACCGTCACCTTCATCTCACCACCACCCTCTCCACCCTCGCCCTCCGCCACATCACTGTATCCCCACGTCTCGGTGCGATCAGCCCCCCCCCCCATCCTCCCGGTCACCTCCACCATCCCTCCTCCAGGAGGGGCTCGAGGGTGAGGGGCTGTCGGGGGAGGGGAGGGTCGGACCCCCCCCCACCTTTCCTCATAGCTGGAGAGGCCCCAGGAGGCCGAGTCCCTGGTCTGGGGGTGAAGGGTCAGTCACTCAGGCCTGCTGTGTGAAGGACGCAGCGAGCCAGCGGCGGCTGGGGGGAGGCTGGGCCCAGGCCTGGGTGAGGATCGGGTCAGGTCGATGGCAGGTGCCTCTGTGCAGGACCCTGAGGCCCATCACCATGACCCGGAGGTGCTGTTGCTCCATGGGGTGGCCTGCCCCAGAGGCACCGTTACTCTGCACTAGCCCTAGCTCAGAGGTACTGTTACTCTGTGCACTAGCCCTGCCCAGAGGTTCTGTTACTCCATGGGGTGGCCTTGCCCTGGAGAAACTGTCACCCCATGGATGAGCTCTTGGCTGGTTCCTGGGCGGGCAGATGGTGGAATAGCAAATAAACAGTGCGGGGAAGCCGTGAACAAACAACCCCAGTTTCCTGACTGAACGAACCATGTGGATGGCATATGTTTCTGAGGTGGGCCGCCTGGCTGGCCCCCACCAGGGACATTTGGCATATCTGTCTGGGGCAGCTGGTGGCCTGGGTGGTGTGGGTGCAGCGCAGGGTCTGCCAGGCTGGCCCCGGCCAGCGCGGACCCCAGAGCCAGGCGCTCTGCTGGAAAGCTGCAGTGGTGGGCAGGGCAGGTCCTGGCAGGCGGGTCTGAGGACCAGCGCAGGGCTGAGGCGGCCACATGCTGTCCTGGGACCTGGCCCAGAGGCGAGGACGTGATGAGGCACAAACGCCTCCCACGGCAGAGGACAGGGAGCAAGGCGGGCCGGGGTGCGGCTCATGCTGCCGGGTGCTGAGCAGGGTGTGGCCCAGTGAAGCCACACGTCCCCCGTGCAGACTCACGGGGGCTCCCTGCAGAGGCCTGAGCCCAGGCCCTGCCTGCCAGGGGCAGCTGTGTACACCGGGCACTTGGCCCCCCATGCCAACGAGGGCCTCTGTCCCACCCTCCATCTCCGATGGGCTTAGTAGGGGCGGGGGGTCACGGAGGGGGTCATGTGCTCCCAGCCACAGCTATGGTGGTTTGTCTTTTGCTACTGTGCGTTAAGCGGACCATCTGAGAACAAAATAAACTCCTGGGCAAGGGGAATTGAATCCAAACATTCCTTTTTTTTTTTTAGCTTTTTGGGTCACACCCGGCTATGCAGAGGTTCCTCCTGGCTCTGCACTCAGGAATTACTCCTGGTGGTGCTCAGAGGACCCTATGGGATGCTGGGAATCGAACCAGGTTGGCCGCGTGCAAGGCAAACGCCCTCCCTGCTGTGCTGTCGCTCCTGCCCTGAATCTAAACATTCCTAAGAGATTCAACCACCTTTTCCTCACCCCCAAACCCAAACAGGTACTAGGAAAAGGGCAGTACTGACGGTCAGACAGCCTGAGGCCACAACTGGGCAGCCTGGCACAAGTGACCCTAGCCCTCAGCTGTGGTCCTGGGTGTGGGGCACTCCAGAAGGAGCCAGGGGCCAGGTCACTTTGTTCTGCCAAGGGCCAAACCCAAGCTCTCGAGTGTGCGAGTGAGGACGCGGATTTCAGGGGCTGCACCGACCACTGCCCCCAGAGTTAGGGCGCACCGAGAACTGGGCGGGGAGGGCCTGAACTCGGACGTGGAAACATGCCTTCACTGGAACGCTGATGCCGGCCAGCAACACCCTCCAAGCAACTGATGCTGCTTCCGGAGCAGCACAGGCCGTGCCCCTCTGGACGGGAAGGGGACGCGACCACTCCGGGCAGGGAGGGGACACAGCCACTCTGGAGCAGCACAGGGACGCGGCCACTCTGGGCACCTGACACAGCAGGCCAGGCCAGTGGATCAGCTGAAGCTGGGAATTCTGCGTCAGGCGTCTCTGGGGGTCTATGCAGCTGGCTGAGTCCTTTCCAGAGGAGGGTCGGGGTCTCGGCCATGGGCTGTGGGGCGGCATGCCCGAACACGGCCCGTCCTCACCACGCCCGGCCCGGCCCGGCCCAATCTCCGCGAGACCCCAGAAGCTCAGAGCTTCTGCTCCGGGTCTGCGGGAACCGACACTTCCCACGTGTCTCATGGCCAGTCAGGATGGGCCTGGGCTGGGCCTCAGTGCCCATGGGCACACCCCCCGGCTGCAGGCAACAACGTATGAGGCCGGCCCAGAGGCTGTGAGAGCCCATCGAGGCCCCAGGAGCCAGCCCAGGACCTTCTCGTGAGACCTGGACCTGGGGTGTGGGCACTGAAGGGCAGGCATGTACGTGTGCGTGTGCAAGTATGAATGTGTGAGTGTGTGTGCATGTGAGTGTGTCTGAGTGTGAGTGCCTGAGTGCGTGTATCTGTGTGTGTCTGAGTGAGTGTATATATATGTGTTATGTGTGTGCGTATTTGTATAAGTGTGTATGTGTGTGAGAATGTGTCTGTGAGTGTGTGCGTATGTGTGTGGGTGAGTGTGTACATGTGTATGTCTGAGTGTATGTGTGTACAATGTGTGTGATTGTGAGTGTATGTGTGTGCATAAGTATAAATGTGTGTGCGTGTATGTATGTGCAAGTGTATATGTGTGCATATGTGCGAGTGTGTATGCATGTGTATGTGCGAGAGTGTATGTGAGTGTGTGTACATATGAGTGTGTATGTATGTGTGCGTATGAGTGTATGTATGCATATATGTGTGTGTGTGTGTGCGTGTGTGATGCTCAGGGGGCTCCGCCTGTGGCAAGTCACCACCCCAGCAGAGCAGCCCATCACAGAGCACCCCAGCTTGGCACCTGGACTCGGTCCTGGCTCGACCATGTGTGTCTGGGGACACGGGGGAGCTTCTGCCCACAGTCAGACACAGCCCCGGCCCTGGCGGGCTGGCAGCGCCGCAGGAGAACCACGTGCCGGGGCAACCCCAGCACCCACACGGCTGGTAGAAAAACACTGGGACATTCACATGTGTGAGCATGTGCGTGAATGTGTGAGCATGTGAGTGCGAATATGGGAGTGGACATGTGTACCAGTGTCTGTGAGCACGTGTGTTAGCATGTGTGTGAGCACGTGTCAGTGCGTGTGCTGAGTATGTGTGTGCATGTGAGCATGTGAATATGAGGGAGAGGACCTGTCAGCCCGTGTGAGCATGTGCTCTCTGTGTCACCACGTGCTGTGGGGCTGTCCAGGCCACCTGCTGTGCAATGTGCTCCCGGGCCTGGGGTGTGGCTGTGGCCACCAGCACCTCAGCTGGACGCCCTGGGTGGGGCAGGGCCAGGCACCCGTCCTCACAGCCTCCTGTGCTGGCTCCCACCATGCTCCGCCTTGGGGCGTCTCTTGGCTTTGGGTTGGGCAGTGCAGGGGGCCGAGGAGGCCAGTGAGTGTCCTGGCAGCAGCCACACAGGGGCGGGATCACGGACCTTCCACTACAGGCACTTGAAGGCCTGCAGCCTGGCACAGGCGGAAGCGCTGGGCACTCCCCAAGGCCACTATGTTCGACCGGTCAGCGCAAACAGACGGATGCCATGGGGAGAGCAGTGGGCGTCTGAACCTCTGTGCTGCCCTGGGAGGCCTGCATGAGGCTCACACACACACTCACACGCGTGCTGACAGGTCCTCACACACTTGGCTCTGGGGGGCTCTGGGCTGTGGACAGCCTGCGAGAGCGGGTAGTGCTTCCTGGGGGCAGGGATGGTCCCAAGGCGAGTGGCAGGACGCGGATGACGGACCCCCCACAATCCTATTGTGCCCTGTTCACGTCTGTTTCTGAGGCTGAAGAGCTCCTCGGACTGGAAGCTCATCTTGAGAGCCCGGCGGTTTTGTAGACTTTGCCTTCATGTTCACTGACTCACGAACGCCTGTTCCTGAGCCGAGGGCGCCATTATCTGTCCACTGAGGCTGACCCAGTTCCGCGAGTGGCCACCAGGAAGCGTGGCCCTAACCAGGACCGCACCTGCCCTGATCTCAATATCTCTGCTTTGTTTTGGGAACGACACGCGTCTACAGGAGAGAAATACAGACTGCAGAGTGGGCAGAGCCCGGGTGGACGTCCCCTGCCTGCCTGTATCTCCCGCTGACCGTGCTGCACCCGGGGCGGCCACTGCCCTGCCCACACCCAGGCCACAGACAGAGCCAGGCCGGTTTCTGTTCGAGACGCCACGTCTCTCGGACTCACGCTGTGTCTCCCGGCTTCCAGACCCTCCTCCCGTCTCTGCCCCAGGTGCGAGCGCGTATGGGGGCTGTCCTCTGCGTCTCAGCCCTGGCTCTCCCCTGCTCTGCCACCCAAACTCACTGTCCCTCAGGCTGCCGAACCCGGACACTCACAAGTGAGACAGAGGGGGACGCCGAGAAACGGGCCCTGGCTTTGTGTCCCCACTCCGTGTGCAGGCGGCCCCTGGGGTACCTCAGCTCTTTGCCTCCACGTTGAAGCTGCCCTGTGGCCGTGGACGTGGGTCGTCCTGTGGCTGTGTGTATGGGCTGCTCCTGCTCTGTGGCCTGTGTCTGTACATGTGTGCTGTCTTGTGGTCACATACGTGGGCTGTCCTGTGGCCACGTACGTGGGCTGTCCTGTGGTCACGTACGTGGGCTGTTCCGTGCTGTATGGGTTACCCTGTGGCTGTGCGCGTGGGAAGTGGAGCCTCGGCCTCTGTTACACGCCCACCCCCAGAGACTTCTCTGGCTCATGGCATCTCTGCCCTGCCTCTCCTCCAACACCACCACCTCCAGGAAGGCAAAGCCTGGGGCGGGACCCCAAGGGACAACTGAGCCCCCTCGCTCAGACCCCAACAGCCAGCGCCAGAGTCAGACCCGGGCAGGAAGGACTGAGACACGCTGGAAGCTGGGGGTGGGGGGTGGGGCGGGCAGAAGGCAGGTCCCATGGCCCCCACGCGCGGTCCCTGCCTCGACACTCACTTTGGGTGCTGGAACGTGTCGATCAGGTCCACCTTCTCCACGAGGTCTCCCCCGACACTGCGCACCAGGTCGTAGAAGTCGTTCTCGGAGTAGCTCCCCGTGGGCAGCCAGAAGGAGATGTCGTTGACCAGGGCCGGGTACTTGCTGAGGGGCTGAGGGGTAGGGACGGCCGTGAGAGCCCGGACACCCGCTCCGCGCAGCTGGGCACTTGGCACGGACAGACCTGGCCAAGCCCCGTCACACACACAGCCACCAACGTGCAACTCAAACGCACCCACTTCAATCCTGCTCCACTTGGGCGCCGGAGGAGGAAAGTCCAGATTTAATTAACAGGCGATTCCTTTTCGGCTTGCGGTACCTCCAGGAAGCCATTTTAATGGAAAAGTAAGGAGCTTGTCAGAATTTATATCTCAATTAGCAGTCATTATTTGCTCGCATTTCTAATTATTAAAATAAAGAACTGGGCCGCTAAGTAACCCTTATAAAGGAAGGCTTCCAATGAGGCATCTGCCCAGCAGGAGGCGTGATGTCCCCTGCCCTGCTGAAGCCACCACCGAGCCACCCGCCCGAGGCTGGCCATTGCAGGACAGTGACATGTCACCAGATGTGCCGACTCCTGCGTCCGACCGTCCACGCAGACTTGGGGCCCCCAGCTGAGAGCTCCCAGGTGGGGTCTGCGAGCTCCCACCCAATTCTACCCAGAGCCTGGACGGTGCAGATTCTGCACTGTGAGGGGCCACAAGACCCCTCCCCCATCAGGCTGGGCAAAGTCCAGGCCACACACGCGCACACACATGTATACCTGGGTACACGCTGACCTGCGTGCACCCATCCAGGCACGCCTGTGTACACAACATGCATGTATTCTCACAGAAAGGACCCAGAATCCTCTTGACAACCTCCCAGGGGCTGTACCGGGAGGTGTCTGTGGGTGCAGAGGAGGGTGCTGGCCCAGCCCCACCCGCCCGAGATCGCGAGTCGAGGGGCAGGGAGCCTGGACAAAGCTCACACCCACACAGACAAGCCAGGGAGCCGGGCCCTGCAGCTGTCACCGGGACCCTCCAGGGAAGGCGGAGAGGACCTGTTTGCGGGAGCCCTGGGGGCCCTGCACGGTCCTGGTCAGGGCATGGGTGGTCCAGGCTGTGCTTACTGGGGACAGCCTGTACCCAGCTGCCCTCGTCAGTGGCCAGCAGTGACAGTCCCCATGGAGCTGGGCCAGCAGCACAGCCGGATGCATGGCCAGTGACACACAGAGCAGCAAACCTGGGGTCAGTGCAGCCCCAGCTGAGCGGGGCCCGAGTGTCGAGGCTGCGGCTGCTCCGACCCACCCCCGTGCGGGGGGCTTTGGAGGGCCAGTGTCCATGGTCCAAGTTCTAACCCAGGGTGAGAGGCCGGTGCCCCCAGGGCTCACATGGTAGCAGCCAGGCCCAGCCCAGGTACAGGTGGCCCTTCGAAGCCTCTTTTAAAAGGCAAGAGAACCGGACACAAGCCAGATGAAATAAACCTGGAGGGCCGAGAGAGAACCTTAGAGGTCTCGGGGAAAGACGCAGTCCCTGAGGTTTCTTAAAAGGCAGAAGAAATGACTGGACTGGGAGGAAGTAACGAGGAACCCCGCAGCAAGAACGCCCTGGCGGGTCCCAGAGCTGCCCGCAACAGCAAGCCCAGAGAGACAAGGTGCGAATCAACAGCAAGCCCAGAGAGACAAGGTGCGAATCACCCTCCGGAGACCAGAGCGCATCCGGCTGCTTCTCCCGGGGGGCAAATGAGCTCTCGTGACCCTACAGAAGACGGTGAGAAGCGCGGCAGATGGGACCACCGACGGACCGAGTTTGCGTCTGAAACCAGATACAGGCAGCCGAGGAGTCTGCCGCCGGGGGAGGGGAGGGAACTCGGCCACTCCAGCCCGGCGGCCATGGCATGAGACCCCAAACAAAGGCTGCGCCAGAAGCGTGCCCAGATCCGTGACGGGATGCCAAGCAGGCTTCCGAGATCAGAGCTAATCAGGCTGTAATTTTACATGATGGTAGTTCATCTACTTCATTTAGTCCAATTTACCCCGAAAACCACCAGAGTCCGGTTTCCAAGCCGGTGGCGAACAAATCGCCTTTTTCAGACTCACACCCCACCCCCAGGATCCAAGCTGGGAAAGGCCAGGGAGGGGTCTCACCTTTCTGTGTGGATGGCGCTTCCTGGGGGTGTGGGGAGGGGGCATGGTGGCGGAAGCGCCCCCGCAGGCCCATGCAGGCGCTGCACCTGCCCTGCCCCCACCAGCTTCTGGCTTGCAGCCTAGAAGCCCACCAGGTCGCGTCTACACACAGGATCCCCAGGCTGGGTCCCATGGCTGCCCACGTGCCAGGGGTAGCTCACAGCCCGCGTCTGACACTGGGCGTGCTGTCAGCTCTGCTGGTCACTGTGCTGGCCCTCGAAGAGCACCCCCGGAGGCCCCAACATGGGGGGGGGGGCGCTTTTGAGCACGCTCGCCTCAGGACACAACACCCGGGCAGGATGAGCCTGGACGGACGTCCAGGGAGCTAGCTGGACCCCAGACTTGCCACCTCAGCACCTGTGTGTCTTCTGTGACTCCGGGGGCCCAACGGCCAGTACTTGGATCCTTCTCACGGGCTCTCCTGGCCGACCTGGTGTCCCCTGTGGAGCCACCTGCCCTGAAGACGCTGCCCCCTGCTAGAACAAGAGGACCTGCCAGCCCCAGCACAAGCATGGTGGAGGTGATGGTGGTGATGGTGGAAGTGGTGGAGGCGATGGTGGAGACGGTGGAGGGGATAGTGGAGGTGATGGTGGAGGTGGTGGAGGTGATGGTGAAAGTGGGAGGTGATGGAGGAGGTGGTGGAGGTGATGGTGGTGGTGATGGAGGTGATGCTGGTGATGGTGGAGATGGTGGGGGTGATGGTGGAGGTGGGGTCTGGCACTGGCAGGGTAGCAGAGACAGGTGTGGCTCTGACATCTGTCTCCGGGTTCTGCTACGCTGGAAGTCGTGGGGGTCCACGGGCATCTCTCTGCTATGAGGCTTCACCCAACACTCGCAGGCTGCTCCGGCCAGCGCCCTCCCTTGCCCCTGCGTGTCCACGCCCCTGGGGAGCCCTGCCTGACCTGTCCTCTGACCCCACGCCTCCCGAGGGCCCAGCCAGAGGGGCCACACTCTGAGACGCAGGAGAGCCTTGCCCGCCCCGCAGTGTGGCCCCGGGAGCAGTGCCGGGGGGGGGGGGGTGGCGGGGGCAGAGCCTGGAGCTGCTCCAGGCTCGGGGATCAGCGGGCAGTCAGGGCTCGAGCCCGGATTTAACGCTGCAGACACGAAAGGCTTCGGAGCATCGAGCGGCAAAGGTGAGTTTGATTCTCCAAGAAGGAGACGCACGTCCGGCATCCGTGAGGGCCAGCAGTGGCCACACCTCAGCAGGGTGAGGGGCCGCCGTGATACTCTCCCCATACATCTGGCTCCTGACGTGCTCGGGGGCCCACACAGCTCTGAAGGAAGAGCCAAGACAGGCAGGAGGCTCCTGGGAGCCCTGGGGCTGCTCCCGCTGGACAGACGGACACGGGAGCACGTGAGCACAGCTTCCCAGAGAGGGGCAGAGAGGCTGGCGTGGAGACAGCCCGGCCCGCCCCGCTGGAGAGCTCACTGGGCTTCAAGCACTTTCATCCCCATCTTCCCTGCCCCCCTTCCAGCCTCCTCCCTCCCCATACGGCCCAGCCTGCGGGCGGCCCCCATGTCAGGACAGGCCCTGAGCCGATGCTGAGACGCGGTTGAGTCGTGGCTCTACTGCCACTGGACTGAGCTCTCACCTCAGCAGCAGGACAGGGGAAATGGCTTGGGTGGCGAAAGCTGCCCACCAGGGCCCACAGGCCAGGGAATCGGCTTCTACACCGCAGGGGAATCACTGGGGGCACGGGGCACGGTGGCCGTGGCCGCAGGGGACACCGACACCCACAGGACCCAGCAAAGCCCCTTCACCGTGGCAGGTGAAGCAGGGCGCTGTGGGCCGAGGGCTCGGCCCACTTGCTCCTGCCCCCGAAGGCTGGGGCAGCTCCCGGGGACCCCCACAACACCCCCCGCGATGTGGCCTTGCTGGGGCTGGGGATCACCTGGAACTTGACCGCCTGGTCGATGTGTGCCACGTGGAACTGCTTCAGGAATCGCTCGTCCTGGCTCCAGAAGAGGCGGATGTCCGGGATGTCGTAGAGGATCATGGCCAGCCGCTCCAGCCCCAGGCCGAAAGCCCAGCCGACCCGGTCCTGGGCACCAGCTGCGGGGACAAGGCGGGCACTGAGGGCGCGGGGCCCAGCACGCACGGCCCGGCCAAGGCCGCCCAGCCAGGCACAGGGACACGCATGTGCCAGCTTGTCTGGGAGAAGGGCCGAGGGCCTGGCCGGGCTCTGCCTCCCGGGCTCCTGTCACCTGCCGTGGCCGTGGCTGAAAAAGCCTCTTGGCTCTGGGGCGTTGCGGGGTCAGGAGTGGGGACACCCCACGCCATGCCACGAGCACCCATGCGTGCGCCACCAGAGCTTCTGACACGCGGGCACCCTGGACTCTGGGGTCTACACACTGTGGGGCCACCAATGGCCTCTGCCTGCATCCAGCCTGCGGCCCACACCTGCTCTCTGGCCCCTGCAGCCTCCCGGGGGGTCCCCGGGGGCCGTGTGGGCGGGAATGCTGGGGAAGAGGGGGCACCAGGCTCTGGCCGGGCAGTATGCGGAGGGCGGTCTCTGCAGGGCAGGGGAGACAGGGCCCGGCTTGCTGCGTGTGCAGATAGGAGGTGCCAGGAGCTGGCTTCCGAGCCGCTGGCCAGCCCTGGGTAGACACAGGTCTTCTGAACATGAGTGTGGCAGAGCGGGGCCGAGGCGGGTGGTCCCAGCTGGAGAGGCCCCCGCCTCTCCAGCTCCCCTCACACTCTCCTTGTTCCCTTCAGCCGCGGCCCAGGCCCTCGGCCCACAGCGCCCTGCTCACCTTTCAATTCACTTTTAATTATCGGAGCCGGCCGGCAGGCCATCAAAAGCCCTTGTACAATTTCTCCGGGTTCCACTGGGAGTCCAGAGGCTCTCCAAGGGGGGAGAAGGGGAGGAAAGGCACAGCGGCTGCAAGGACGGCCGGCGGGCAGGCGGGAGAAGGCGCCTCCCCACAGAGCCTGGGCCGTGGCCGGGGGCGGCCCCACTCCTGACCCCGCAGTGCCCCAGAGCCAAGGGGCTTTTTCAGCCACGGCCACGGCAGGTGACAGACAGGAGCCCAGGAGGCAGAGCCCGGCCAGGCCCTCTGCAGGCACGTGTCCAGCTCCTGGGGCCCGAGGGCGGTCTGGGCAGGAGGAGTCCACTGAAGCCACCCTCCTCCGACGTGGCCCCCCCCCCCCCATGGGCCGAGATGGCAGCGCAGTGCCCGGGGCTGCCCAGGGTCCCGGTAGAATGGTGCTTCCAGGAGGCTGGAGCCGGCCACCAAGCTGCAGTGCCCTGGAGGCAGAAGCAGCAGGCAGGGCAGGGCTCTGCCTAGACCGTGACCGACCTGTGCTCAGGAGGGCACCCTGGCCTTGCCCGCAGGTGGACACTGCGCCCCAAGACACAGAGAAGTGGGCGGGCGCCTCGGCAGGGCCCTGGGTGACGCCAGGAGCCCACATGCGGCCTGGCCAGGCCTGACTCCCAGACGTCCCTCGGAGAAGGGGAGGAAGCCCAGCGCCGCGGCTGGGGCCGAGGACAGGCCGGGCGGGGCCACGGAGCGGGGACCCACGGGCGTGATGCCTGGGGGTCAGAGCCCCGTGTGGGGGGCAGCTGGCAGCGGGGGCGGGCTCTCGCATGCTGACTGGCCGACAGCCACACCACCATGTGGCGGGCAGGCGGGAGCGGGCTCCCTGGCACCGGGAGGAGGCTCGAGGATGCCCCTGCCAGGACGTTTGTGCAGGGTGCAGAGACGGGACGGGGAGGGGCGGGATCACAGGACGGCAGTGACTAGCCCCCTGCACACGCACAGTGACTCACGCACACGCGTGCTCACACCTGAGTGCACACCCATGACATGCACGTGCACGGCCCAGTCCTCTCGCGCCACAGCACTGCGGCCTGGGCCCGCTCCCGCTGTGCCCCACCCCTGCCCGGCCCTCTGGGCCCACAGCATGGACCTCCTGTCCCTGGGCAGGCCAGTGACACTGAGCAACCGCAAGCACGGCCTTAGAGCAGCCTGCCTGCACCGGCTCCAGGAGGCCAGCCACGCCGCGGAGCCTCCCCGGAAGCCATCTCGATGGCCCGGCCGTGGGAGTCAGGCTCAGCAGGGGGGAGGAGCAGGCAGCGGGGGAGTGGGGGCTGGCCCGGCAGTCACGCTGCGCTGCCTGACTGAACTGCCGTCTGCATCTTGGGGAGGTGTCCCGGCCCTCCCACCACGCCCGTCGTGCCTGAGCCCTGGGCCACGTGCTCTGGCGCTGACAAGTTTCCACGCGGGACCCGCCTCAGCGGCAGGGGGATGGCCCCCTGCACGCAGGTGCTGCCGCCAGAGAAGGGTGGGGGGTGGGGGGGGCTCAGCTGCCCAGGCCTATAGTGCTCCTGTACTGGACAACCCCACGGAGCATGGGGCACCCAGGGCTCTGAGCCCACAGTGCCTGCACCCACCTCTGCACTCAAAGCTCTGCACCCGCACCCACTGCCAGGCTGGAGGCTCCAGTGGGCAGGGCAGGGAGGTGGAGGTGGGGTTTGTCTCCCCAGACGCAGGCCGAGTTCTGCCGTCTGGGTGTGCAGGAGCCTCTAGCGAGGTTCAACAAGGGAGCCCCCCACCCCTGCTTCCTACCGTCCCCCTACACCTGTGTCCACCCCTTCCTGCCCACACCCTCCCCCCACCTCCCTATCTCCCCCACACCCTTCCCCCAACCCCTTCCTCCTATACCCTTCCGGCCCACACCCCTCCCTGACTCCCGTGGGCAGGCAGTGGTGGTGGTCCTGGCCCTGGGGCTCCCCAGGCGCCTTTCCGAGCTGTGTGAGAGGCTCTGCTGAAGGCTGTGCCTCCACCCTCTTGGCATTCTTTAAGTTCAGTGTTTTATACACAAATGCAAATACCAGCAAAGCTGACACATGAAGCAAGACTCAGACACGGTGGGAAAAGCCAGTTAAAAATAGGCCGCAGACGAGCACACTGTAGCCGGCAAACGTTCCCCTTTGGGCTCCAAGTGTGTGTTTGTGTGTGCGCTTGTGTGTGTGCATGCATGCAAGTGTATGTGTGCGTGTGTGCATGCGTGCAAATGTATGTGTGCATGTGTGTGCGTGTGTGCTCGCGCACACGCACGCAGTCTGTCCAAACGCCAACGCGGGCTTCGGCCGGCCAGGGTCCTGTCCCGCGTACGACCTGTGTGCTGACAGGCGAGTGCCTCTCGTGCAGGCGTCAGTGAGAGCCGGCAGTGGGGCAGGCACCGCAAACCAATATTTATTCTGGGGCACTCAGCTGTGGGCAATCCGGACATGTTCTGTCTGGTGTCTGCTCAGATTTTACGAGATAATTGTGTCCGACCACCTAAAACACCACATTAAATGTGGAGCCCTGACTTTTAAATTTAAAAAACATGAAAGGGGCAGAATCTAATCAGTCACGCCTCTGCAGAATTAAGGGAGATGTAAATAAGGGGCTCCTGAAAGGTGCAATAAAGCCAGGATTAATCAGGCTGGGATCCAGGGTCAGATTAAAGCCCCACCAGCTGGACCAGCAGCTCCGGGGCCCACCTCCCCCGGGGCACCCTCCTGCCCATAAAACTTCATTGTCACCTCCGATTTAATCACCTTGTCCATCACAGACGTCTTGCCTCCGGCCAGCCGTGACTAATTGTTGTGGTAATTTTTCAATCATTAACAGCTTCGCATATGCTCGACAAATCCCCAGGCACCGGGAGCGGGGGGGGCGGGGGGGGGGGGGGGGGGGGGCAGCTTCCAGAAGGGTCCAGCAGGGCCCTCCCCCAATCCTATTAGTGGAGGCCATCATTAGCGGCCTAGGCCCCCTACCCTTCCAGGGGCTGTGGGCTCCCTGTGGGTCCCAGTCTCCGTGGCAACAGCCTGATGGCACGTGGGTGCCTGCAGGTGGGGCCTGGCTGGGGGTCCCCAGAGCATGGCGGAAGGTTGGGGGGAACCTTCAGGACGGGGTGTGGCCGCCTTCACCACTCCTGGAGGGAAAAACTGAAAGAGCCACTCTGGACACAGGAGAGGCAGGCAGGAGCTGGCACCCGCCACTGCCCAAGGACGGGAGGAAGGAGGAAGAGGCGGGAGACACAGGCCATGGCCGGCAGGAGCAGCCTGGAGCAGGGGGCACCGAGTCCCCAGAGCAGGGCACCCAGCATCAACTGTGCCCACAGCACAACAAGCCTGGGAAGTGAGAGCGGGCCGAGTCGTGTGCCCAACACACAGTCAGCCCTGATGTGACCCAGCCCACACCCAGCCCAGCACATGGCCCAGCCCAGCATGCGCCCAGCCTAGTGACAGTGCCACTGGGTACACCGGGGGGTGTCAGCGTGACTTGGCTGAGAGACCAGGAAAAGCAACCTGTGAGGTAGGCTCAGGGTCCACAGTGTCCTACATGTTTTGAGGACATGGGGGGACCCTGCTCTGTGCACAGCCTCACGGGGTCTCGTCCAGGCCATGTCGGTGAGAACAGGCCAGAGAACAGGGACAGGGTACCAGAGGACCAAGACAAAGTCTGGCTAGTGATGCCCGTTGCCTGTCAGATGCGGCCACCAGCCCCGTGGCCAGGCCAGGAGACTCAGCTCAAGAGGGCAGCCACGGACAGAGCCACACCAGGGCCCCATGGGCTAGGATGCTGCATTCCGGGGCTCAGGGCCACGCAGCCCAGCCTGGGAATGCCAGGACAGACCTCACTGCCCACTCGGGCCGGGTGGTTCCAGCCGCAGGGGGAGACCTCAGCTCACAGCCACTCAGCCTACCCCCAGTGCACGCAGACAGCACGAGCACACTCTCCCCCCCCCGCCGGCAGCCGTGGGGGGACGCCGTGAGGGTCACGCTGGCCTCCTGGAGCCGTGGCTTGGCCCTCACACAGCCTCCTGCGCCCTCAAAGACGGACAAGTGAGTTATTTATTGTTCTCTGACTCAGTTTCCCCTAGGGGCAGGGAATGGAAGCCATAAGCTCATTTCCAGCTCTCCGGCGCACGCCCCAGCTCTCTTCATCTCAGCCTATTAAATATTTATTGTGCCCAGGACCCAGGTGCTGTTGGGGACTAGAAATTAAATAAATAAGCCACAGACCCCACCATTGCGGAGCCTGGATCTAGGAAGATTAAAAAGAAAACAACCCACAAATAAGGCACCCACAGAAGAAGGGGTCAGCAGCAAGGGGGGACCCTCAGGTCAGAATGATCCAGAATGCACCGCTGCTGAAGGCGAGCCCCCAGACGGCCCCACCCCTGCCGAGCAGAGAGCAGGGCCGCCAGCCCACCCTCCCTGGACACGTGGACAGTCAGGCCGGGCTGCCGAGCCCAGCCCAGACGCACCCTGGCCTGGACACTTAGCTTTCTGAGCGCGGACTCTCAGGGGCCATCCTCAGAACTGGGACAGCAGGACACACGGGGCTTGTGGCTTCACTTCCACGCTGAGGCAGAGCGGCTGACTGGACTCGTCAAACCTGTGCTGGCCGACTGGGCAATGACAGGTGACCCTGACTTGCACAGACTCTGGCCTGAGTCTTGGCGCCCGACAGCCAAGGACATAGGACAGTCTGTACTGGCCTCTGGGAGGCAGAGGGAGACGGACGGTCAGTGACTGGCCTCTGGGAGGCTGAGGGACACGGATGGTCAGTGACTGGCCTCTGGGAGGCTGAGGGACATGGGACAGTCAGTGACTGGCTTCTGGGAGGCTGAGGGACACAGACGGTCAGTGACTGGCCTCAGGGCGGCAGAGGGACATGGGATAGTCAGTGACTGGCCTCACGGCGGCTGAAGGACACGGATGATCAGTGATTGGCCTCAGGGAGGCTGAGGGACATGGGATGGTCAGTGACTGGCCTCTGGGAGGCTGAAGGATACGGACAGTCACTGACTGGCCTCAGGGAGGCTGAGGGACACGGGACGGTCAGTGACTAGCCTCAGGGAGGCTGAGGGACATGGGACGGTCAGTGACTGGCCTCAGGCCAGCTGATGGACATGGGACGGTTGGCGCCTGATGGCGGGAAGGAGCTGCCACCACCGTGGCGTCACTTCTGGAGAGTGTGGGAGAGGAGGAGAGACGTGAGGCAGGGTGGGGAGACAGCATGGAAACGGAGCAGATGGCTGGCCCTGTCCACTCCAGGCTGGACAGTCCAAGGCTCTTCGCCCATAGCGTCTGGTGCGTGGCCACTAGGCCACTGTCTGACTGACCTCTGGTGCGGGAACATGGTGGCATTTGCGCAGAGGGAAGCAGAGCCTCTTCTTGCTGGCCCTTGTGTCCCCCCAGTCACTCAGCCAAGGGGCAGAGCCCGTCCACATGAGCACGGCCGCCTGGCCCAACAGTCCTGCGGGTCCCGCTGTTTCCAGCCCACTTCCCCTTCCTTCCCTTCTGCCCGCCCACAGGCTGTCCTGCCCCTTCCAGACTGACCCCAGGCCTGGTGCCGGAGAAGCCCTGGCGGCTGCCCCACAGTGAGGCCCAGAGGGGGTCACACCGGCCCCGCCCAGCAGCAGCCGAGACTCTGCGAATGTGCAGCTCAGGGCCAAGCCCCCAGGTCTCGCTCTGCCTGGGGACCCTTCATCCTTCTAGAGCCAGCACTTGGTGGAACCCAGGCGCTGGGTGAAGGACAAGGTGACCCGGTGCTCAAGGTTGCGGCTGGAACTTGCTGGCAGGCACCCGGCCCCGGGAAGGGAGCTGGCCCAGGGGATGGCCTCTGGGGAGCAGCCGTCTCCTGGGCCTCCCCAGAAGACAACCACTGTCCCTGCCTGTGTCTTGGGAGTTGGACCAAGGCCTGCCGGTGCCCCTCTTCTCAGGGACTGGCCCTCCAGGACTGCCGGGTGCCCCTGGCAGCATGTGAAGTTCCTAGTGGGAAGGGGCACCCCCCGGAGGGGGGCCAGAATCTGTGCCCCTCCTGTGACCTGACCACACGTGGCCACGCTGCCCATCCCTACAATGTGGTCAGCAGGAGGCGGGCTGGAGGGCCCCAACCTCACTGCTCAAGCCTGTGGGGGCTGATGGGGCACAGCCCCTCCCTTCTGCCCCCCACACCACTTACACACGGAGCCCGCAGATACCCACTCCCAGCTGGCCTCGGGGCAGAGGGGACGGAGCAACGGCCAAAAGCAGCCATGCACCGCTGAGACTGAGCAAAGTCTGACAGAGCGTGGCCCCAGGAGATGGCCAAGCTCAAGCTGCAGAACCAAGACCCAGTGTCCTGCCACCTCCACAAGATGGTGGCCACCCAGGGCAGCGACTATCTGCAGGGCAGCCCGAGGCAACCCACTATGCTGCCACTGTCACTGCAGGATGCCACGGGGGCACAGTGCTCAGCAGCAGACAGAAGAGCTTGGCCCTGCTTTATGAACAGCCAGGAAGGACACTAGTGTGAGGCACTCAGGCAGCTGGCCCCAACGAGAATACACCCACAGCCCACGAGAACTACCCACAGAACAGAGAACACCCACAGCCCACGAGAACACACCACAGCCCACAAGAACTACCCACAGAACAGAGAACACACCCACAGACCACAAGAACTACCCACAGCCCACGAGAACTACCCATAGAACAGAACACCCACAGCCCACGAGAACACACCCACAGCCCATGAGAACCACCCACAGAACAGAGAACACTCACAGCCCACGAGAACACACCACAGCCCACGAGAACTACCCACAGAACAGAGAACACACCCACAGAACAGAGAACACACCCACAGACCACAAGAACACACCCACAGACCACGGGAATTACCCATAGCCCACAAGAACACACCACAGTCCACGAGAACTACCCACAGAACAAAGAACACCCACAGCCTACGAGAACACACCACAGCCCACGAGAACTACCTACAGACCACAAGAACTCCCCACAGAACAGAGAACACACCCACAGCCCACAAGAACTACCCATAGAACAAAGAACACTCACAGACCACAAGAACTGCCCACAGAACACAGAACACACCCACAGCCCACAAGAACTACCCATAGAACAAAGAACACTCACAGACCACAAGAACTGCCCACAGAACAGAGAACACACCCACAGAACAGAGAACACACCCACAGACCACAAGAACACACCCAAAGACCATGAGAACTACCCACAGAACAGAGAACACCCACAGCCCACGAGAACACACCACAGCCCATGAGAACTACCTACAGAACAGAGAACACACCCACAGACCACAAGAACTACCCACAGCCCACAAGAACTACCCACAGCCCACAAGAACTACCCACAGAACAGAGAACACCACAGCCCACGAGAACTACCCACAGAACAGAGAATACGCCCACAGACCACAAGAACACACCCACAGACCAAGAGAACTACCCACAGAACAGAGAACACCCACAGATCATAAGAACACACTCACAGACCACAGGAACTACCCACAGAACAGAGAACACCCACAGATCATAAGAACACACTCACAGACCACAGGAACTACCCACAGAACAGAGAACACCCACAGCCCATGAGAACTACCCACAGACCACAAGAACTGCCCACAGAACAGAGAATATACCCACAGAATAGAGAACACACCCACAGACCACAAGAACACACCTACAGACCACGAGAACTACCCACAGAACAGAGAACACACACAGTCCACGAGAACACACTCACAGACCACGGGAACTACCCACAGCCCACAAGAACTACCCACAGAACAGAGAACACCACAGCCTACGAGAACTACTCACAGAACAGAGAACACACCCACAGACCACAAGAACTGCCCACAGAACAGAGAACACACCCACAGAACAGAGAACACCCACAGATCATAAGAACACACTCACAGACCACAGGAACTACCCACAGAACAGAGAACACCCACAGCCCATGAGAACACACCCACAGCCCATGAGAACTACCCACAGACCACAAGAACTGCCCACAGAACAGAGAATATACCCACAGAATAGAGAACACACCCACAGACCACAAGAACACACCTACAGACCACGAGAACTACCCACAGAACAGAGAACACACACAGCCCACGAGAACTACCCACAGCCCACAAGAACTACCCACAGAACAGAGAACACCACAGCCTACGAGAACTACTCACAGAACAGAGAACACACCCACAGACCACAAGAACTGCCCACAGAACAGAGAACACACCCACAGAACAGAGAACACCCACAGACCACAAGAACACACCCACAGCCCATGAGAACACATCACAGTCCACAAGAACTACCCACAGACCACAAGAACGCCCACAGAACAGAGAACACACCCACAGACCACAAGAACTACCCACAGACCACGACATCCACAGACCACGAGAACACACCCATAGCCCATGAGAACACACCACTGCTCACGAGAACTACCCACAGACCACAAGAACTGCCCACAGAACAGAGAACATACCCACAGAACAGAGAAAATACCCACAGACCACAAGAACACACCCAAAGACATGAGAACTACCCACAGAACATGAGAACATCCACAGCCCACGACACCCCCAGACCACAAGAACATACCACATCTCACGGGAACTACCCACAGACCACAAGAACTGCCCACAGAACAGAGAACATACCTACAGACCACAAGAACATACCCACAGATCACAAGAACTACCCACAGAACAGAGAACACACCCATCGACCACGAGAACACACCCACAGCCCACGAGAACACACCGTAGCCCACGAGAATACACCCACTGCCCACGAGAACTACCTACAGACCATTAGGACACCCACAGATCATGAGACCAAATCTGCACAGTCAGGAGCATCCAGCAACAGAGCAGGCCCGCCACGTGGCAATGACTCTGGCAGAACAGGGGCACGTCAGAAGGAGCCAGGAACGTGCAGCCCAGGTGCATGTGCACAAGGACTCCAGGACCCAAGTCCTGGAGACGACAGACAGGTGTGGCTCTTACCCGAATCGACCAGCTTCTGCTCCATCACACCGCAGCCCAGGACCTCCAGCCACTCTCCATGGAAGTTGATCTCCATCTCAAAGGAGGGGTGCGTGAAGGGGAAGTAGCAGTCCACCCACCTGACGTCCAGTCCTATGGGACAATGGGAAACACGCGGTGTGAGCAGCAGCCTGACCCTCAAAGACCACGTCCAGGGGCCTCAGGGAGGCCTGAGATCATGACCCAGGAAGCCTGGGGGTGTCTCTCCAGCAGGAAGGCCACGAGGCAGCTGCATAAACCCTGGGCTGACACTGGGCAGAGGAAGTGCGGTGAGAGGGCATGCTCCTGGGGTTGGGGAGACATCAGTGACTGTCTGCTCACACCCGCCAGCACCAGGGCTGACACGGGGCAGAGCAGCCCCTCCCACCTCACCCATCTGCACGTGAGGGCCATAGAGCAGGGACAAGTCAAACAAGATGACCAGCTGGTGGGGGAAGGCACAGTGGGCTGCAGCGTGCCCAGCGTGTGGGAGGCCAGGAGGACCCCAAGCACAGAGTCAGGAGCAGCCTAAAAACCAACCGACAGGTCAATAAAATCAGCAAAATTTCACCAGTACACATAAAAAATCAAAACAACTTTCTACTGAATAATGACAGGTGCCACTGAGCACAGCCAGTGACGCCTCAGTGAGCACCTCAGGCCAGGCCCCGGGGCCCTGGCTGACCTGGCTGGCAGGAGCTCCAGTGGAAAAGCCTCTGCTTCCCGCCAGGACAGTGCACACAGGGGCAGGCAGAGCCCTCGGGCACCCCATGTGCTGTGCAGAGGCTGAGCAAGGAGACTTGGACGTCCAGACCAGGGGGTTTCATTCTGGGTGTCCCCACGTCCTGCTGACCTGGGCGGGCTATGGGTGTGTTCTCTGACCCAGGCTTCCTGGGTCGTGATCTCAGTGCCCAGATGCACTGTAGGGCCCAGCTCTGGCTGCAGAGATGGCACCACGCACGTGTCTGCCACAGGTCCAGGCCGGAGCCAATGGCTGTGGCTACCTGGGCCTGAGGGCAGAGAAGGGCATGGGGGAGACAGGTCCCAGGTGGGCCGGGCAGGGCGGGACAGAGCCTCCCGGGACTGGACGCAATCCTCTTTGTCAACACTCACTGTAAGGACTTCAAATGCTCCATGGGAGCCACCCAGGATGCATCTGACACTGCTCCTGGTCACTGTGGGCAGTCACTGAGTCTGACCACAGGAGTGTGATGGGGGCGCACATCTGCTCAGAGCACAGCAGTGTGACGGGCGTCTCAGGTTCACACCAGCGCCTGGCTCATCCCACGACACTGCCGCTTCTGTCTCCGGGAGCCCCACAGCACCACAGCCTGGCCCACCCTCGCCCTGCCTCTGGGCGGGTGCCCAGCTGAGGTCCAGGACACGGCCACACCCACCGGCTCCAAAGAGATCCGCCATCAGCCGGGTGAGCGTCTGCTTCAGGTCGAACTCCACCAGCTTGGTGGCCTCCATGGTGTGTGCCTCCTGCTTCTCGGGTGAGCGGACACTCTGCTCGAACAGCCGCAGGCTCTCCCCATCCTGGACACCAGCAAACAGCTGTGAACCGGAAAGAAGCTCGTGGGAACAGTGTTCCAGGCGCAGACACAGCAGGGTGCAGCGCTCCCTGGGGTCAGATGGGCTACGGGACAGAATGACCCCAGTGTCATCCAGTCACCACACAGAGCCAAACCCAGCCAGGAGTGATCCCCGAGCACAGAGCCAGGAGTGAGCCCCGAGCACAGAACTAGGAGTGAGCCCTGAGCACAGAGCCAGGAAGTAGCCCTGAGCACAGAGCAGGGAGTGAGCCCTGAGCCAGGAGTGAGCCCCGAGCACAGAGCCAGGAGTCAGCCCTGAGCACTGAGCCAGGAGTAATCCCTGAGCACTGAGCCAGGAGTGAGCCCTGAGCACAGAACTGGGAGTGAGCCCTGAGCACAGAGCCAGGAAGTAGCCCTGAGCACAGAGCCGGGAGTGACCCTGAGCACAGAGCCAGGAGTGAGCCCCCCCCGCCCACCAGCTTATAGTATTAAAGGGGACGTGTGTGTAACAGGAGCTTTTTCTCTTGTTGTTTTCGACATTCCTTACTTCCTCTTTCGACTTAATGTCATTGAATGTTACCCACTTTCACCCAGACTGGCCTGAATCTGTCGGGTGCTTCCGTCACCGTGTGGGAGACGCCTGTGGCCATTGCAAGTCACCACTGTGCCCTCTTCTCCTGGGCTAGGATGGGACCAGGGGGCCCCCAGGTCATGCTCCACGGCCCCTGCCTTGGCCTCCCTCCCTCGACTCTTCTTCCTGCACCTTCCGTAAGCTGCCAGCTTTGCGGCACCGTCCACGGAGTCTCCTGCAGTCCTGGATGCTCGTGCTTGTCCAGTGGGTGGCTAGCTCCTCCCTGCTGCCTCCTTTCTAGGCTTCTCACCTGCTCACACCTCCTCCTGCCGCCAGGAGCTCGTAACAGACACGAGCTCTACCCCTCGACTCGGGCATTTCTCTGCCCCTCTGCTTCTGCATGTCAATCACTGGCCACACTGCCCAGCCCTGAAGGACTGGCCTGTGGGTGGGGAATGTTCTGGCCCATGGTGGCCCCGGGCTGCTCCCCTGGGCTCAGATGCTGACTCCCACCCGGGGGGTCGTGACTGATGAACTCTCAGAGGCTCTCAGAGGAAGGCGTGAGGCGGGCATCGTTGGCTACTGTCCTCCCTGGCCACCCAGGGACATGTCCTGTACCACAGCCACACAACCTGGGTGCACAGAAAACCCTGCGCAGGAAATGAAGCGTGTCCAGCACCTTCACAGCTAAAGCGTCTGTGGCCGAGCGGTCATGCATGAGAAGACGCTTCTGTGCCAGTTCTCAAGGACGCTACACCCTGAGAACCGAAACACCCCGCAGAACCAACAGTCTGCCTGCTAGTAACAACCAGGGCGTCAGAGTGACCCCAGAGGCCAACACGGACAGGCCCTGTTCAGAGGTGCGGGCAGAGGCCGGACACTGGGCGGGACAGACGAGCAAGCGTGGACACGCTGCAGCAGTCCAGGGCTGCGGGGAGGGACACACTGACCACTGGCGACAAGCTGGGGCGTGTGCGCACCACAGGAACCGATACACACACAATGCAGACGCTCGGAGCACGAGAAGTCAGGGAGCATGGCAAAGATGGCGCCTCACGCATGCACAGGCACAGGAACAACGGGCACATGCACGCAAAGTGCACGCACATGTACATGCATACGTGCACACATGCTCACACGCACACACACTCACATACGTGGACGCAGACAAGCTCAGAATGCTCTGGAAGGCCACTGCTCCCCACGCCACTGCCCAAGCACAGAGAGGTTGACCGGTTGGGAGCCCTTCCTCCTGGGGACCAGGCACGGGAGATGGGGCCCCGTGAGGCCCAGCCCACAGGCTGCTAGTCCAAACCAGAGCACTGGCGTGGTGCAGCTCGCATGCTGCTCCTTGCGGGAGGGTTGGGGGTGGCTGGAGGCATCACGCTCAGGCCCAGGGTTCAGGTGGCCACTCTGGACAAGGCCGGCTGGCCAGAGCGGCTTTGTGCGTGGAGAAGGAATACACACAGGCGCTGCAGCCAGGCGCCTCCAGAGACAATCGGAAAACAGCTCCTCGGAGCACTGGGCCAGCTGTGAGCTTCTCAATTAATTTCCAAATCCGATTAAATAGACAGAGGATTTGCAGGGGCTCCCTCTGGTGGGTCGGCGCAGCACTGAGATGTGCTCTTCTTCGGCAAATGAAAATCTCAATCAATGTGCAATAAAATGGAGCACGGAGCTACAAACACAGGTCTGTGGGCGTTTCCAGAAGCCTCGGCACCCCAAAGGCCCTCCACAACTTCTGAAAACCTTGACAAAGCCCGGCCTACCCCTGCCGCTTCGCACACATGATCTTGGGTTCACCAGGCTTCTACTCCCAGGAATTTTATTCACAACGAACCCCCCTCCCCGAACCGCAGTGTGCCTGTGGGCATGTCTGCGTACGCACGCACAAGTCACACATGTCTGTGTACGCACACACGTCAGTATGCACGTGCCTCTACATATGCATGTGTGCACACGCATGCATGTGCATTGTGCCTGCGTGCACATATGCATGCACGTGCACGCATGTAGTGTGCCTGTATACATGCGTGTAGTAGCTGCATGCGCTCGTGGCAAACATGTACCTGCATGTATGCATGGGTTCATGTGTGTGCATGTGTATGGTTTCTGTGTGTGTGGTGTGCCGACATACGTCGGTGTGCGCAGCTGGCTGTGCAGTTCCAGCCCTCTTGCTGGGGGAGTTCTGGCTGGGCAAATTCCAGCTGTCCAGAAGAGGCAGGGCACAGGCCCCACAAGACTCTGCCCATGTGCCCATGTCCACCCGCCTGGTCCTGGCCCTCCTCCCACGCTGCCCAACTCTCCCGGCCCTGCAGCCTGGCCCCAAGTGCTGATGGTGAGGGAGCCGCGGGCTCACCACGTTGGCACAGCGCCCCCTGCTGGCCGGGCCTGGCTGCTGCAGACTCCCGGAAGCCGGGACCGCTCGACCCCATCCAGACGTTTCCCGAGCACGCGAGAGCAGAGAATGTTCTCGTCTCTCCTGGTGCTCAATCGATCACAAGGGAGGCAGGAGATGTCACCAGACAGGACCTGCTTTACTCCTGGGTCACTAGGTGAAATGTGGAAGATGGATGCTCGTGACCGAGGGCGAAGCCGACAGCCACGACGTGCCTGTAAGTCTGCTGTTGGCCGCAGCAGTGGGGTGGGTCCACGTGCAGGAGACAGGGCTGGGGTCTCCCCGGCCTCAGCCCTTACAGGCAGCGGAGTGTCTCCTTGCCTCCTCAGCACGCGCAAGCACCAACGAGCCGAGGCTCGTGGGACGGGAAGGTCAGGCTGCCACGTGGTCCCTGAGTGCCATGCGGGCAGGGACCCAAAAGCCCCACACAGAGGGAATACAAACAGCCATAAACAGAGCCCAACAATCAGGGTTCTCAGGCCGCCTATGTTTATGTACCTTTCACTGTTTAAGCCATTGTTTTTTTTTTTGGTTCACGTTACTGAAAAAATTACTGTAATTATGAATTTGTCAAACTTGATTTAATTCTTCAGTTCCAGTTTACAGATTACACTTCTGATGCGATGCTGTGTGTGAATGTGTATGTGAGTGTATGTGTGTACGAATGAGCGTATGTATGTGTGTGCGAACGGGTGTGTTTGTGTATATGAATGTGTGTATGTGAGCGAGTGTGTGTACATGTGAGTATTTATATGAGTTTGAATGTGAATGAGTGTGAGTGTATGTGTGTACGAGAGTGTGTATATATGTGTTTTGAGTGTGTGTGTGAATGTGTGGGAATATGTGCATGAGAGTGTGTGTGAGAATAAGCGTGTGTGTTTGCGTATGAATGTGTGTATGGTAGCGGTTGACTGGGTGTGTATATGTGAGAGTGTGAGAATTTGAGTGTGAATGTATGTACGTTTATGTGTATATGAACGTGTATATGTGTGAGTTTGAGTGTGCATAGATGTGTGTGTGAGTGTGGTAAGTGTACGTGTGAATGAAGGTGAACGAGTGTGTGCATATATGAATGAGTGTATGTGTGAGAGTATTGTGTGCACATGTGCATGAGTACGTGTGCATGTGTGAATGTGTGTGCATGTGTGAGTGTGTATATACGTGGTGAGTGCGAATGACTGTGAGTGTATATATGAATATGTGTGAGTGTGTGCACATGTGTATGAGTATGTATCCATGTGTCTGAAAGTGTGTGCATGCATATGTGTGTCAGTGTGTGCATGTGGGAGTGTCAGTCTGTGTGTATATGTGTGCATGTGAGTGGGTCAGCATGTGTGTGCATGTGTGAGTGTGAGTGCAAGTGCGTACTTGTGTGAGTGTACGTGTGTGTGCACTTGAGTGGGCATGCACATGTGTGTGCATGTATGAATGTGTATGTATGTGTGTGCAAGTGTGTGTGGGCATGCACGTGTGTGAGTATGTGTGTGCATCTGAGTGGGCATTTGTATCTGGATGTGTGAGTGGGCATGCAAGAATGGGAGTGCATATGTGCGTGTGTGTGCATGCATGTGTTTGAGTGTGTGCATGTGAGTGTGTGTGCATGTGTGTGCACGTGTGAGAGGATGTGCAAGCGTGCTTGGGCGTGCATGTGTGAGTATGTGTGTGAGTGAGTGTGCGTGTGTGCATGTTGAGTGGGCATGCATGTGTGTATGTGTGTGCATCTGAGTGGGAGTGCATGTGTGCGTGAGTGTGTGCATGCATGTGTGTGTGCGTGTGTGAGTGGGTGTGCATATGTGAGAGGGCGTGCAAGTGTGTGCTTGGGTGTGCATGTGTGAGTGGGTGTGAATTGTGTGTGCATGTGTGAGTGGGTGTGCGAGTGTGCATGTGCGAGTGGGCGTGCATGTGTGCATATGTGAGTGGGCATAAATGTGTGTATGTGTGTGCACCTGAGTGGGCGTTTGTATGTGCATGTGTGAGTGGGTGTGCACGTATGAGTGTGTGCATGTGTGAGTGGGCGTGCATGAGTGGGAGTGCATATGTGTGTGAGTGTGTGCATGGATGTGTATGTATGTGTAAGAGGGCATGCAAGTGTGCTTGGGTGTGCATGTGTGTGTGAATGCGTGTGCATGTGTGAGTGGGCGTGCATGTGTGTGCATGTGAGTGGGCGTGCGTGTTGAGTGGGCGTGCATGTGTGCGCATGTGAGTGGGCGTGCATGTGTGTACAAGAGTGTGTGTGGCACACACCCCTTGCTTGCCCTCCCGCTCACCTGGTGCCGGGAAAAGAGGCGCACGCCCTCCAGCTGGTGGAAGACAGGGTAGTGGTGGGCGTCGATCTGGTCACGCCGGTACACGTCGCCCGCCACTAGGAAGGCATCCAGGCCTGCACGCAGCAGGTCCCACTGGTGTGCGGACGTGTGGGCACGCAGCATGTGGTCCGAATTCAGGTAGTAGCTGTGGCCCGGCTGGCGGCTGGGGTGGTCGGGGGGCACCAGGAGGCTGTCGAAGTTCTGCCAGGGCGTGACCACGGGGCTGAGGTTGTCATGCAGGGAGAAGAGAGGGGCCCCGGCGCGGGCCGTGTGGTGCCGGTCGAAGTGGGCCTTCACGCGCTCCTTCAGCAGCCACAGCGGGTGGTGGGGCTGCAGGTGCAGGTGCCGGCCTACGCACGCCAGCACCCGGCGGGGCACGTTGCTGAGGCCGTCCCGTGGGTACGAGCAGCCCAGCAGCTCCAGCGCAGGCTCGGGGTCCGCGGGCGGGGGACCTGGGCCAGGGTTCCGGACACCTCGGGACACCCCACTGGCCCTCCTGGCCAGGGGCACCCACACCGGAGCTGCTCTGCTCAGGGAGCCCATGGCAGCTGCCGCTGGCTCTCAGCTCTGCAGGAGAGAGGCACGTGGTTAGGGCAGCTGCAGGCCCCAGTGGCCCTGGGCTCGTGTCCCCAGCCCCCACAACCCGGTCCCGATACCCAGGGTTCCCAGACCCACTGTTCCCCAGGCCCCAGGGTCCCCCCAAAGGCCCCACCAAGATCTCCACCCCAGCCTCAGCTCTGGAGGCAGGCCCAAGTAGGGTCGTGACAGTCCCGTGGCGCTGCCGCCCCGCTGCAGAGTACACAGCAGCCCCTGAGGCTCGGGCAGGAGGCCGCGACCTGCACCCAACCGTCATGGGGGCTGCTCCCCAGAAACGGGACCGACAGGGACGGCCTCAGCGCGTCACGGGGCGCTGAGGTCAGAGGGCACGGGAGCTGCCCTTCACAGGGCCGGTCCGAGCGCGGGAGGGGCGGCGTCGGGCTTGGAGCAGGACTCCGGCGCCGCGGGCGGGGGGCCGGGCCGGGGGGCGGGCACCCGCACGGGAGCCCGGCGGCCCTCCTGCCGCGCCGCGGCTGCTCCTGCGGGCCCGGGGCCAACTGGGGCGGGCGCGTCCCCGCAGCCCCGTCTCCACCCCGGTGCTGCTGGCCTCCCGCACCGGACACCCCCGCCCAGGGCCGCGCTCCCCGGGCCCCGCGGGCGCCTGCTCCACGCGCCGCTGCGCCCGGGTCGGGGACGCGCCAAGGTAACCTCGGGGCACGGACCCCCACGGCCGGCGCGAGGAGGCGGCGCCCAGGCTAACGCAAGCCCCAGCTCGGGCCCGAGCGCGCGGACCTCCGGGCCGACGGGGGTTCGGGCGCCGCGCGCCCCCGGCCCGCCCGCCCGCCGCGCGGCACTCACCCTGCCGGGCGCGGCCATCTTGGCGCCGGGGGCCTCGCGGCGGAGGACCCGGCGGCCGCCCGGAGCGGAGCCGGAGCGCCGGGCGGGCCGGGCCCCCCGCGCCGGTCCCCGCAGCGCGCGCCTCCAGGCCCGCGCGCCCGGAGCCCGGGCGCAGAGCGCGGCGGAGGCCGCCCGAAGCCCGAGCGCCGCGGAAACGGCGCCCTGCCGTTCAGGCGGCGCCGCGGACAGCCGCGCGCCAGGGGGCGGGGCGCGGGCGGGGCCGGGGCGGGCGCGGGGCCGGGGCGGGCGCGGGCGGGGATAGGCGAGCGCGGGCGGGGATAGGCCGGAAGGGCACGGGGGCCGGAAGGGGCGGGGCGGCGCGCTGGTCACCAGGGCGACGCGTCCCGGGCGCGGGGAGAGGGACGGCCCCGCCCGTGGCTGCCCGCCGCGCGCCTGCGCGGCCGGAGGACCCGCACTTCCGGCCGCCGCGATGGCCGCCTCGTCCCGCGCGCAGGTGCTGGCGCTGTACCGGGCGCTGCTGCGCGAGGGCCGCCGCTTCGGCGCCTACAGCTACCGGTGCGTCGGCGGGCCGGGGCCGGGGCCGGTGTCGGTGTCGGGCTGTCCTTCTGTCCGGCTGTCCGCGGGCCCCGCCGTCCGGCCATCCTGCTGTCCGGCTGTCCGCGGGTCGGGGCCGGTGTCCGGCAGTTCGCGCCTCGCTGTGCCGGGCAGGGCTGCGCTGTCCGCAGAGACGGTGCCTGGGCGCGCGCTGGCCCCGGGACCGCGCGGACGGCACACGCGTGAGCAGCCCTGGGGCGCAGCGGACAGGCCTGCGCTGACCCTTCCCTCCCCTGGCAGAACCTACGCCCTCAGGAGGATCCGAGACGCCTTCCGGGAGCACAAGAGCGTCCGGGACCCCAGGGAGATTCAGAGCCTGGTGGACAGGGCCCGGCGGGACCTGGGGGTCATCCAGCGCCAGGTAGGCTGGGGGGGTCTGTAGGGCCGCGGTTGGGGGACCTCACGCGCCCCCAGGTGCTGGTCACTGAGTCGGAGGGTGTCTGCCCTCACGCACCCCGGGGAGCTCAGGGCCCCTCCCACGGGACTGGCCGAGACAGGGTGCCCTCGCCTGCGCGTCATGGTGTCCTGGACCCAGAACCCGGGGCCTGTGGTTCTGGAGGGCACAGCTCTGCCCAGCTCTCCTGGGCCCCCGGGGCCTGGGCGCCGGCCGTCCTCTCACCTGAGCTCACTGCCTTCTTGTTCCTGAGCCGGGCCTGGGCCCCTCCGTGGCCAGGCTGCTGTCTGTGGCCTCGTTCACACCTCCCATGGGGCCTCCCGTGGGACTGGCCGCCTCGAGTCCGTGCTTGACCCTGGACAGAGTTCAGAGACCAGAGGCAGTGTTGATGCGCAGAGTCTAGGAAAAGCCTCATGGAGGGAGTCGGGATGGCGGCCGTGGGGTCCACACTGCCCAGACGCGGCTCTCTCTGTCCAGCAGGGTGCACCCCACTGGGAGTGCTTCCGAGTTTGGAGTTGCCAGAGCCAGACCTTGCAGGGAAGAGGCTGGGCCCCTTGGAGCACATGGTGCCTCTGGTAGGGACATGTGAGTGCCCACTCACGGAAAGGCCCTGGTACTGGGCTGGCTGGAGGGTCACTGTCCCCCTCGGCCAGCGAGCAACTCTTGGATGTTTCCCTGGAGGCAGCTGGTCAGAGCTGACGCTGTGTCAGGGTGGGAAGGACCCAGTGCTCGGCGGGCCAGCCCAGGTTCAGACGCTCAAAAGCGCCTCTGCTGCCCCCGCCTGCCAGTTTGCCGTTTGTGGAAGACCTTTGACATGTCCCCAGCAGACTGCCCCTTGTGAGAGGAAATGGAGGAGAAATGAGGGTGGAAACCCATGTGGTCAGGCCCAAGCCCTGCTGCCCCTGAGAGCATCCTGGAATGCGAGACCAGGTCCCAACCACCAAACCCTGTGTCTCTGGTGTCTCAGCCGCCCTGTGCTGTTTGCATCTGAGGAAGGCCGGACCCTGAACTGCGGGCGTACTGCGTCTCACATGAATGTGCTCATTAGTGAGTCAGGGGGACATGCTCCCACCAAGCCCAGCGAGGGATGTGCCCTTGAGCTGTATCCACTGTCAGTCAGTGGGGCTGTGGGGTCTCAGGCCCACGGACAGCCCAGCTTGCCCGCACCTCCCTGGCGCTGAGCTGTGGGCTTCTTCCTCACCTGCCCTCTGGGCCCCAGTAACGGGGGCTGTCAAGTGTCACTGTCCCGCACGCCGCCTCTCTCCTCCCGAGGGTTCTTCCTAGCCTGCTCTGGGCCCTGGAGTTATGGCTGCAGGACCCGAACCTGCTGCTGCGGATCCCTGGGAGACACCACTGAGCTGGGGGTGGGGCAGACCCCCAGTCCCTCCCCTGGGGAAAGGCATTGCTTCTCCTGTCGGGCCTGGACCCCGCTCTGTCCCCTGCACCATTGCTGTGGCCCTCAATAAGGTGGAGGCAGCCGGGCCCATTCCAGAAGCTTCTGCACACAGCATTTGGGATTTCCATTTGACTTCGAGCTTCTCTGTCTGCTCACCGCGGCCCCTCCTGCCCTGCCCCGGAGCTGCCTGTGCTGTCCCCAGGCATGGAGACTTGCCAGAGGTGCTCTTCCTCCCACAGAAATGCGACCGGTGCTCCGTCACGGCCATGAGGCCCAGGGCACCACGACTCTCACCCCTCTGCCCCCCAACTGCTTCTCTCCCAGCCTGGGGGCAGCGTTTGGCTGTTTGAGTGGACCGGCTCTGTTTGCGCGCACTGATGCTGTTTATGTGGACTGGTGCTGTCTGTGCACCTGTCCAACCCCACACACACACCTGTCCTGCACAACCCCCCCCCCCGCCCCCAAATCTGTCCGTACACCTGTCCTGCACACCGGCCCACAGACGGTACTGCAGCCCCTGCGGGAGCCCGTGGCAGAGCCCCCGGGCCTGGTGAGGAGTGTTTCAGGGACTCCCCTTTCCCCTTTGAGCCTGTCTGATTGCAGCAGCTGCCCTGTGCCTGAGACCGCGACAGACCTGAAGTCTGTGCGTGGGCAGGCAGGACCAGGTGATGAGGCCGACCGGCCGCCACCCCGGCGTCTGGTCCCCAGCTGCCCGTCTGGCAGCCAGGGCCGAGGAGGCCCTGCGCACCCCAAGCACTGCAGCGGGTTTGTTCAGAAGGACAATTCTGCAGCACAAAGGGACTCCAGCCTCCATCCTGGACTGCAGCTCCCACCACAGCCCCCGCTGACACCTGCTGGACAGACGGTGGACGCCCCCACCACACCCCACTGTCCTCTCGAACTGCCCGTGGGCTGCGCAGCCCAGGAACTGGTGTCTCACGCCTGCCTGCCTCTCCCCCTCTCTCCCCTGCAGCTCTGGATGAGTGTATAAGGGTGGAGTGAGTCTGATTCTGAGTGTGTGTGTGAGTGTGAGTGTGGGGTGTGGGGGAGAATATGTATGGGAGTGTGGAGTGACTGAGTCTAAGTGTGTGTGAGTATGTGAATGTGTGCATCTGAGTGTGTATCTGTGGGTGTGTATGTGAATCTGAGTGTGTCTGTGTGAGAATCTGAGTGTGTGTGTCCGTGAGTGTGTGTCTGCATCTGAGTGTGGTCCCGCCTGCGCTGCCCCGCTGCAAACTCCCACACCCCCTCTGCTCCCACCTGCTTGTGTCCGGTGCAGTCTGGGGTCTGGAGGAGCAGGAGGACGCTGTTGAACATGGACACTGGTGGGGCTGCAGCCCTCTCCCTGCTTTGGGAACCAGGGAGCTGCCCCAGGGGGCCCCTTCTGCCTTGGCGCCTTCCTGATAGGCAGGGACGCCCCCGTACTGAGGTGGGCCAAGGCGGCAGGGACGGGTGGGTGTTGGTCCCCTCCCCTCGGGAACTGAACTGAGCACAGGGGGGCTGACGCCCGCTCCCCAGGACCAACCCTAAACACCACCAGGCATGGTACCAACCCCAGCCGGTCGCTGAGGTGCCTTGGGGCCAGGAGGGCAGCAGGGGGTGTCTCTCAACTGGGGTTTGGACAGTGGGCCCTTCCCCCCCCCCCCCCCCCCCCCCCCACTGAGAACTCCACAGGAGGGTGCTGAGGGCTTGTGTTTCTCCAGGTGCAGGTTGGACGGCTGTACATGGCGGACAGACTCATCATCGAGGGCCAGGACAAGACCCAGGCCTAGGGGCTGGCCCCCCACCACAGGCTGCAGCCCACCCCACCTGCCTGTGCCCGCCGGCTGGATCCACGGCACAACCAGCGCCAACCCCACGGCCCCCGACCAGCCCTGAGCTTGGTGCGTCCCACTGTGTCTCCCAATAAACGGAGCCGCCCACAGAGTGGGCTGGCATGTTCCTCACCTAACTGGGCTCGTCCACTTCAATGAACACATTGACTCCCCGGGGCCCCTCAGTGAGGCACGGCCCAGCACCAGGCTTGGGGGTCAACAGGAAGGAGAGAGGCTAGGTGTGCAGGGCAAACACTCCTGCACACAGCGGGACCGCTAGGAAGGTTCCGGAACGTCGCTGCAGATGCCAGGCACAAAGGAGTGGCAGGGGACAACCCTGGCCCTGCTGCCCGGGGACCTACGGGGAACACACACATATCCTGCAGGCCGTCTGTGACCACACAGAAAGGGGGTCCTGGAGCTCACCTCGGGTCATGAGGGAACCTGTTTGGGAGGGACGGGAAGTGGGTCTGGGGCGGATGTGGGGGTATGCAGTGACTTGCGCTCAGCAGGGTTTGCTGCCCCTTCACCAGGGCCGACACCGAGGATGAGACAGGTCCAGGCCCAGAGCAGGGCCCAGACACGGAGGGGAGTGGAGGGGAGGGGCAGGTGCGCCCCCAGGGCCCCACAGGTGCAGCGGCTAGCGAGGGCCCAGGCAGGACGGGGTCGGGATGGGCGTCAGGGGGGCAGACACCCCAGAACACCGGCTCGGTGGTCTACCGGGAAGGACACTGCCCAGTTGTCCTCCCGGCCCTGACGGCTGGAGGCAGCCCCGGGGGTGGGGGTGGGGCGCGGCGGGGGCGGGACCCTGCTTCTTTCCAGCCTTGGGTAAAGCTGCAAACAGCTTCGCTTCTCCCAGACCCGTGCGAGAACGGGCCCTGGGGCTGCGGCGCGACCCCTGAGGAAAGGGGCCGGCTTGGGCAGGGCGGGGCGCACTCAGCCTCACTCCGGTCCCGGCGCGCGCCGAGCAGCGGGCCTCAGAGAGTCAGCCCGAGGGGCGTGGCGGACAGGGGCGGGATTGGTGGGCGGGACGGCGCTTGAAGGCGGGGCCGCCCAGGACGGGCCGGGGCGGGATTGGAGCGCGGCGCGGGAGGCGGTGCCGGCGGGGGCGGGACGGGGCAGGATTGGAGGGTGACGCGGGGGCGGTGCCCGCGGGGGGCGGGCCGGGGCGGGATTGGACAGCGGCGTGGGGGGCGGTGCCCGCGGGGGGCGGGCCGGGGCGGGATTGGAGAGCGGCGTGGGGGGCGGTGCCCGCGGGGGGCGGGCCGGGGCGGGATTGGAGGGCGGCGCGCGGGGCGGCCTGGCGGGAGGACGATGGCCACGGTGCGCCGGCTGCGCGAGGTCCCGCGGCACCTACTGGTCTGCGAAAAGTCCAGTTTCGGCCACGAGAAGTCGCGCCACCGGCACCTCGTGGAGACGCACCATTACAACTACAGGGTGAGTGTGGCCGCGCTGGGCGCCCGGGACGGGCTGGGGGGCCCGGCCGGCGGGAGGCGCGCGCCGGGGCGGGCCCGCGCGGGGCATGCTGGGAGCGGTAGTCTCTTCGCCGCGGGGCGACCGCCGCCGCCGCCGCCGCGAACCACAACTCCCAGGGTGCGCCGCGCGCCCGTCGCGCGTGGTGTCTGGGCCGAGGCACGTGCGGCCGCGCGGCCCCCGGGAGCCCATGCGGACCCCCAGCGCCGCGGGGCCTGGCCCCGAACACAAACCCAAGTGCCCGAGGCGGGGCCCGGGGCGGGGCTGCCCGCGACCCCCGTCCTGCCGGCCGCCCGCAGGTGTCCGTGCTGGTGCCCGAGTGCGGCCTCCTGCCCCAGGCGCTGCGGGCGCAGCTCGCCCGGGCCGGACCCTACTTCTCGGTGCGGGCCCTGCCGCTGTGGGAGCTGCTCGCCCCGGGATTCATCGGCACGTTCGTGCGGGGAGGTGAGTGTCGCGGCCCCCGAGCTGCCCCTCCCCCGGCCTGCTGCAGGTGGGCGCCTGCACGCCCCGTGGGCCTCCCCGCCGGGCCTCCTCTTCCTCTGCCCCTGGGCAGGCAGCGCTGTCCAGAGCGAGCCGGCGCCGGCCCGGCCCGGCCCGGTGAGTCACTCGCCTCCTCCGGCTCCCCCTCAGGGTCCTGCTACGCCCTGAGCTTCAACACCAGCATCGATGAGGACAACGCCGCCGCCCTGCTGCCCAGCGGTGACCGCCCCGCCCCCACCTCACCTGGCTCTTCCCCTCCCCGCACACCCCGTGCAGGCCAGGCCAGGCCCTGGCTCTTTGCACAGTCCCCGAGCTTGTGGTTCTCACTTTGCCGGTTGTCCAAGCCAGCAGTCACAGGTGCCCTCCCGCGGTGCTGGGCGCCACCAGGGCTGCAGCGCCTGTGGCCAGCCTGGGGCCTCCCCCTCCCTGCCTGGGCAGCTTTCCCCGGAAGTATGAGGGTTTCTGGCTCCACTGACCTGAGCACCCTGTCAGATGCCCAGACGCCAGGACCCTGTGTCCATGCTCTGATCTGCCGGCTTGCCCTCCTTTTCCCGGGAACACGGGTGGTGTTTATTTTCCTGGTTTTGGTTTTGAGGGGGGCTGTCCCATGCAGCGCCGTGCTGAGCTGCCCTGTGCATCTGTGTTAGCCCTCTCTGCTCTTGTCGTTGTTACTTGGTTTGTAGGGAAGTTAATCTTATCCCTGGATAAAGACACGTATGAGGAGATGGGGCTGCAGGGCCGGCCGGCCCGCCACGCTGGCAAGAACACCGTGAAATTCAGTGAGTGAGCCCGGCGATGGCCCCAGCTTCTGTCACCCGCTCGCCGGTCCCCAGAGCCCCTCCCCTCTGCGTCCAGACGCCAGGAGACGCTTTCTCTGGCCTTGCAGTCGTTGCTGTTGATCTCCTGGATTTATTCCTGAACCCAGCTTCAAAGAAATCGCAGAGGGTTCGCTGGTCCTTCCAGGAGAAGAAGCCACTGAAGTTCGACTTTCTGCTGGCGTGGGACCCTGCAGGTGGGCCTGGGACTGCAGGACGAGTGCCAGGAAGAGCCCGGGCCGGTCAGATACGGGGTTGTGTGTGTGTATGTGGGGGGTGCGCGCATGGGCGCGTGGAAATGTGTGTTCTGGTGTGCGCATGCATGTTAAGGCGTGTGAGCCCCTCCCACCCAGAGAACCCCGCATGCTCACAACTCTGCTGGAAACGTCGGGTTCAGCTTCCTCTAGGAGAGCTGAGGCAAAGCGGGTGTGGGGCGGGACACAGCCACATGTGCCCTGCCGTGGGTGGGGGGCTCTCTGGGGCCCCCCTGGGGTCCCCTCACATGGGCTTCTGGGTCTGTTTCAGGGGCAGAAGACTCGGCCATGATGTCCTACTTCTCCAGTTACCAGATCCGGGAGCACCAGCCACGCGTGGTCCTGAGCACTGTGGCCGAGCTGGAGTATCCTGTGCTGCAGAGCGGGGAGCCCCGGGGGCAGCTGGGGGGCTCCTGCAGCGCCCCCGACTTCCTGGAGTGGCTGGGGGCCGTCTTCAGCGGCGCAGAGATGTGCGTGGGGCGCAGGGCATGGGTGTTGGGCTGGGCTGGGCCGTGGAGCTAAGCAGTTTGTCCCTGTTTGTCCACGACAGGAAGAACGAGCCCGACAGCTTTGTCTCCACCTATTGCTGTCCCCAGCCCAGCACGGTGGCGGCCAGGGCCTCCGTGTGTACCCTCACGGGCCTCCTGCTCCCGGCCCAGGTCTCTGCCCTGCTGGAGCAGCTGCGGTGAGAGGCAGGCCGGGGGGGGAGGAGGGGCTGCAGGCCTGGGGGCCCTTGGATCGCTTTCATGGGTGGATGGTGCTCCCTTGGGGGCCAGGGCAGGGCCTCAGCCCCCCTTGCCCTTCGTGGCAGGATCCCTAGCGTGTGGGGGGCAGGGCACACCCGGCATCCCTGAGATGGAAACTGAGGACCTGGCTTCCTGCTGAGACAGGCCCAGCCCCGCCTCTCTGGAGCAGTCCCCCCTCTCCTCTCCCTGCCCCCTCATCCACGACCCTGCCCCTCCCTACCCCCGTCCCCTTACCCCCTGCCCCCGCTTGCTTCGACCCCCCACTCCCTGGCTGAGGGGCCTCCCTCCCTCCCTCCCTCCCTCCCTCTCGCCCACCTCTTGCAGCCTCTACTTTGAGGAGCCTAAGCTGGCCCCGTGGGTCGCACTCTCCGTGCAAGGCTTTGCCGACAGCCCCGTGTCCTGGGGTGAAGACGAGCACGGCTTTGGGGGCAGCGGCGACCACCTGTACAGCTTTGTCATCTTCAGCAACCAGGACTACTGGCTGCAGATGGCCGTCGGCGCCAGGGACGAGTGTCCACCCTAGAGTGCAGCCTGAGGCACTTCCCAGGACTGCTGGATCTGATGGCTGAGGGTGTGTGTCTGCTGGCAAAGGAAGTGACGTTTCTTAGATGGGCTTTGGCCCCACAGGGGCTGCACCCCAGCCTGGCCCAGAGCTGCCCTGTTGGCGTCCCGTGTGTCCCCTGCACTGGAGCCTTGTCCTGGGGGCCCACATGTGGAGGAGCTGGCAGCCTTCTGAGCACCCCCAGGGCTAACGGGCCTGTGGACTTGGCATGTCCCTGAGTTTGAAGCGGAAAGAGTGTCGGGTGTGTGAGTTGGACAGTGGGGGCAGGAGTCCAGAAGGAAGCTGGCTGGACCCTGACGGTGGGGAGATGCCTGCAGCAGAACTCACAAATCACCCTGTTATTCGTCGATTGCCTCGAGCAGGCCCCAGTAACGTCTCCTTCATCCTAGCCCTGAGATTATATTCAAGGCTCTTTAGGAGAATGAGACCCATCATTGTTACTGGTATTTGGCATATTGGGCACGCCACGGGGAGTTTGCCAGCAGAACTAGCAGAGGGAAAGGGTCCCTGGAAGGGCCCAGGACAGAAGGTGGGGTGAGCCCTGAGCATCAGACTCCTTTCAGAACTGCCATCCATAGTGGCAGCAGTGTTTGGCCTTCCCTGGGAAGGGGTCTGGGAGAGGCCGGCCACATTAGTACCAAAGCCGGTTTCTGCTTTAAAGACCAATAAAAAGGCTGTTCTGCGGGTCCTGTGGTGACTGCCGTCTGACTCCGTGTCTACACCTCGCTGCAAGACCAGAACAAGAGCTGCTGGGGCTAGCCCTGCCCGCCACACACCTCGATGGCTGGGCAGAGGCTGCTGAGATGTTTGTCCAGCGCTCAGGAGCTGTGGTCTCTGCGTGGCCCTGCGCTCTCCCCCACCACACTAGCGCTTCAAGCCCGAGTGGGGTTTGAACTCCACAGGCCGCTGGACTAGAAAGACCCCCCTCAGCCTTCTGGGGGTCAGATTTGGGGCTCAGGCACACAGCAAGCTTCAGCCCATAAGCCAGATCTCACATGGAGTGGGCAGGCTGGCAGGAAGGGACCACGTCCACCTGAGCACTGGCCACTGCCGGGTGCTGGTGAGTGCCTGGACCCGGGGTCCAACTGTGGACACAGCCAAGGGCAGTGCAGACAGCTGCCTACCATTCCTGTGGGTTCAGCCTGGTGCGGGGACTGCGGGGAGCAGAGGCAGGCTCCATCCATCCCCATGGACACCCTCCTGGTGATGCCTGGGATGCAGGCTCTGGCCACACCTGCTTCGAGCAGGGCTCACAGCTCTACCATGTGGTAGCACAAAACTCGCCTGTCATGGTTTGTGCAGACCAGCCTGGCCCCAGCAAGGAGGCTGGGGCGGAGGGCAGAGCCCCTCCTCACCGAGGGGAGCTCCCCACCCCTACCCGGAGACATGCCCATGCAGGAAGCCTGAGTGTCCCAAGTGTGTTAAGAAATATTAGTTTATTTAACCAGTTTCACAGCTGAATATTCTATAAAAACTTTACAGATTGTACAGTTTATATATAGCTCAAACTACTCAACGAAAGCAGAGCCCACAGATGCAAAAATACTGCCCGGCCCGTGCCGGGAAGGGGTCGGGTCTACGTATCAACTTCAAAACTGTACAAAAATAAGGTTTGGATTTCGTCTCATTTCTCATACATTCAATGATTGCCAGCTCAGAGTGTCGGCTCGGGCCAGCCCCAGCTTCCGGAAGGTCAAGTTGTGTGTCTGCTGACCATCGACTCCACCGGGGCCAGGGGAGCCCCTCGAGGACACATGCCAGGAAGGAAGGTAGCGATTTTTCTTCTTAAAAAGGAGTTTCTGCATTTCATAGTGTGCCCCAAGAATTTTAACTTATTAAATAAAATATATTCTAAGTGAACCTAAAAATTACACTTTATAAACATAAAAATACTTTTTTTTGGTGTAATACATCAATCATATCTGCAAATACAAAACCCAAACTGCGTATAAAGTCGCGTTTCTCACCCAGCAACACCTCAGTGTGGCGCCTTCTCAGGCCAGGCCCTGCGCAGTGTCCGTCACTCGCTAATACTGCAGACGAGAGCCCAGGCTCCCTCGGCCTGGGGAGCTGGCGCCCAGGAAGCACGTGGCCGAGGCGGAGGCCAAGCCCTTGTGTGGCTCCTGCGCCTGCCCGCGCAAGGCTTAGATTCTGGGTCTAGGAGGAAACGAGACTGTCGGCGAGTGCGGCTGCTGGCTGCGTTCCCGACGCTGATGCCTGGGAAGTGCTGTCAAGTACCAAAGCAGGACTCCGGCAAGGAGCTCGCAGGCATTTATTTTAAAGTCACAGCACGTCAGAACTGCCGGCGGACACGGCTGCCTGCCCTGCCCGCACAGGCGCAGCTCAGAACTCGTCGATCTTCCTCTGCAGGTACTTGAGCATCGAGTCCATGCCCTGTGCCGAGCCCCAGATCTTCTTCAACACCTCACACTCCCGCTCGTTGGCCTGCTCCAGCTCCGAGCGCAGGTTACAGCGGACCAGCGTCTTGGACTCCTCCAGCACCTGCAGACACAGGGTCAGGGCGGCCGCAGGGCTGCACTCCCGCCCAGGGCACTGCACACTGTCTCCCACAGCTGCAGTGCAGCTGACCGAGGGCCCGCCCACCCCCGTGCCGGCAAGGGACCCCTCTCATCTGGGCCTTTCGGGGGAAGGTGGGTGCCAACGGGGTGCAAGTACCGCGGGGTTGCAGGAGGCCAGCTCCTTGATGCGGACCATGACCTCCTGGGTGAAGGTTCCGGGCCAGAACACCTGGGACACCAGCCCCTTGCCGCAGGCCTCCTGCGCCGTCAGCTTTCGCCCGCCCAGCAGCATCTCGTTAGCCTGTGGGAGCGGAGCGGCAGTGAGGGGAGCACGCGCAGTCCTTCCCAGTCCAATGGCCATGGGCTGCAGGCAAAGGGCCGCACGTACATGCATGTGCGTGCACTGTAGGTGTGTACTAGTGAGCACCTGTGTGTGCACGTGACCGTATGTGTATGAGTGGAAGCGTGGCTGTGTGGACATGTGTACCTGTGTGTACACACATGCGCACCCTGTGGGGGCCTGCCTGCTGACATTTCACATATGTGCGTGTCTGCATGTGTGCACATGCACGGCAGGTTATGGCGGACATGGTTTTGTGTGCTACTGCGTACGTGCATGCACGCATGCCAACATTTTGCGAGTATGCTAGTGTACACATAGGTACACACATGTGTGTGCAAAACATGCCATGGCAGGGCACTAGCTACATGGGAGCCCGAGGCAGCAGCTGGCTGCAGACAGTCACACATGCAGGGCACAGGCCAGGGGCCTGCAGTCATCGAGACGGGCGGGGAGGGCACTCACAGAAGCGCCACCCATGATCCGGGGGAACATGACGGTGGAGCAGCCGTCTGGGCTTTGCCCGAAGGTCGTGTAGGGCGTCTGGAACCAGGCCTTCTCGTTGGCCCACACCACGTCACACAGCGGCAGGATGGACGCGCCGAGTCCGATGGCAGGGCCGTTGACTGCCACCACGATCGGCTTCTTAAACTGGATAAAGGTGTTGACAAAGTTTCTTGAACAGAAACAAACAGGGAATCACTCGGAGCCGGGTGGCCCCCAGCCCGGCCTCCGGCGTTGGACTGTCTCCTGCAAACGGAAGGTGCCGGCATGGCTGCCCGAGGAAGGAGAGGCCCCAGGGTCTGCAGGGGACTCTCCCCTCCCTGCCGCCCACATGCGGGCCTTGCCCCGAGCTCGGATGACACCATGCGGCGGGACCAGAAGGCCTGTGTCCACACAGGAACACACCCGTGAACACAGGACCAGGAAGGGGAGAACAGAAGCTGACAGCTGTGGGGGAGTGGCACAGTGGCCCTGACATTAGTCTGGGGGCGCTGGCGTGTCCTGTGTTGCTGCCACTGCTCTCGCCACCCCCTCCGGGGTGGGATGGGCCCAGGGAGGCGAGGACAGATATAAGTTCCCACCCCTGGGGACACAGGCCAAGGGCAGCTCAGGGTCCTGTCAGGGCTAAGGGCCTGGAAGACAGGTCAGGACACCCCAGGGCTGCTGCTCAGCTCCCGGGGGCACAGGAAAGTGCGTGCATGTACATGTCATACGTACGTGTATGTGCATGGGAGCATGTGTATATGCGTGTGTACATGATGTATGAGCATGCATGCACGAGTGCACACACACGTTTGAGTGCATGAATGAGTACGTGTATTTATGTGTGCGTGAATGTGTGTGTAGCGTGATTATGTGTACATGTGCCTGCATGTCTATGTGGGGAGTTCACGTGTATATGTGCGCATAAGTGCATGGACATGCATGTGTGTGTTGCATATCTGTATGCATGTATTAAGCATGCATGTGTGAGTGTATGTGGCAACTCACATGGCTATGTGTGCATGTTGGAGTGCATGGACACCGGAGTGGGCCTGGTCACGTGCATGTGTGTGATGTCACCAAAGCATCTGGAAGCGTGTCTGCTATGCCAGCTCCAACACATGCAGCACCTTCCCCACACGCAGGCCCCAGTGTTCTGGCAGCTCCTGGCTGACAGGAAAAGCAGGGCCCTCCCAGAGCTGCCCCCTGGGCCAGGGACAGAGGGTCAGCCACCCAGAGGACAGCAGGAACAGGAGGTGGTGACAGCCACCGGGAGGGCAGGAAGGCGGAGCCGGGAGGCTGAATCCCTCCAGCAGGGACTCGGGTTCCCTCAAGTGGAGCTGGCCTGCACTGGGGTGCGGGGTGGGGTAGCAGGGGTCAGGGGCACCGAGGCAGGGCCCTCTGCTGCCCAGAGAGCTGACATCACTACATGCCCGGGCCATGCATTCGGGGCTTTCAGCCCAGAACCTTCACGCTGTTCAGGCGCGTCCAAGCCTGTGTCCTGCCCGGGGCCTGCCCCCATGCCCAGGGTGGCACACGAACCCTGACCTTTCCCTGGGGTCAACAGCCACCCGCTGTGCTGGCACCAAGGGCCACGGACGTGGGCACCTACCGGATGGCGTCTGCCATCTTGGTGCTCTCTCTCTTCCTGTCATCGGTCAGCCGCCGGATGAAGTAGATGAAGTCCAGGCCGCAGCAGAAGACGCTGCCCACTGCGCTCAGCAGCACCAGCTTGCTGTCGTCGGCGGCTGCCGTGCTCAGGGCGCTCTGCACCTCCTTCATCACCTGGAGGCAGGCACAGGTCGGGTGGCCACCAGCCCTCCTCCCACCCGTCTGCAGGGGGTGTGAGGACAGAGGGTGTCCCGCACGTGGCACCCCGGGGTGCTGAGCTCAGTGCTCAGGAGTCTGCCTGGGAAGCTGGTCTGGGGCTCCCTGGACAAGCCCGGCCACACCCAGGTCCGGATGGCGCCGAAAGCCCAGTAAAGCCCAGCTGAAGCCCAGTGGCCCCGTGTAGGCACCTTGCTGGGCAGAGCTCCTGACCCAGCTGCCGGGCCCCTCCGAGCAGTCAACGACCCTGACCAACCTGCCCGGAACATTTCGAAGGCCCCACGACCCAGCACTGTGGCGGGTCTGGCCAAGCGGCTCACCTCGGGGTTGAGGGAGTTGTTCTCCGAGGACTTGGTGGACAGCAGGATGTGTGTGAAGCCGTCCTGCTTGCGCACCACGATGTCGCGGTAGCGGTAGGCGCTCTCCGTCTGCCGCACGCTGAAGCGCAGCCGCTTGTCGAAGGGCTGCTCGCGCCGCTCCTCCAGGAACTTCCTCTTGCCAGCGGCCACGCCGGCCACGGACGTCTGGAGGCTGCTGCCGTTGGCCGTGAGAGCGTCCAGGAAGGGCGACGTGCCTGTGGGAGAGCGGGCCGAGGGCGCCGCAGTCCGGTCGGTCGCAAGGTCTCTGGCGGGGAGTCGCCCTCCGGCTGTGCTGGAGCGAGGGGCGCGGCAGCCGCCCGCACCCAACCCCAGGTACGTGAACCCCAACCCCTGGCCTGCAGGGTCAGTGGGATCCCCCCGTGAGGCCCCAGCACAGTGAACGGACAACACCCCATGGGTGGGACTCCCCAGTCCGAGGCTGTGTGTAGGGGTGGGCACAGTGTGGCTCTGTCAGGGTTAGGGGACACTGCGTGGCTGGGAACAGTGTGACTGTATGTTGGGGGGACAGTGCGTGGCCAGGGATAGAGTGGCTCTGTGTGTGTGTGTGTGTGTGTGTGTGTGTGAGTGTGTGTGTGTGTGTATGGTGGACACTGCATGGCTGGGGATTGCTGTGGCGGCGGCGGGGGGGGGGGGGAGATAGCGTACACTGCATGGCCAGGGAAGGCTGTGGTTGTGTATGTTTGTGTGTGTGTGTGGGGGGGGGGGTAGTGGAGACTGCATGGCCAGGGATGGCTGTGGCTATGGGAGGGGACGGGGACGGTGGACACTGCATAGCTGGGCCGGGGGATGTGGACATTGCGTGGTGCCCATGGCAGGGCAGGGGCTGCATCAGGAGTTGGAATTACTTTGCCCAGTGTGACAGAGGGCATCAGGCCCTCACCAGGCTGGACAGGGCCTGACCTGAGTGACCCCACGCATCAGATGGGAAACACCTCCGCACCAGCTCTGGCTGAGGAAGCGTGTGCATGGGGGCCTTTCTCTGCCCCGCTTGGGCAGCCCTGCACCGTGTGTGACACCCACCTTCCCTCCCTGTTCCGCAGTGTCCGCCAGGAGCAAGCCCTAAGCACCGAGACAAAACCCCAACTTCTCGACCGGGTCAGCCCTCCTCCCACCCCTGGTGCCTCAGAGCGTGGACAAGGGCCGGAGAGCGTGTGCCGGCTGTCACAGGGCAAATCGCGTCAGAGCCACAGGAGGCTCCAGAACCCACGTTCTCCACAGGACTGTGCCGAGGCCCATTGTGGGAGTGAAATGGAAGCCACCACACTGAACCTGTGCACTGCGGCGTGCGAAGACAGGCTGGTGCTGGTGACACGGCTCCTGTCCCCCGGACAGTGCGGGCTCCCTGCCAGCCGCAGACATGGCAGGCGGACGTGGCTGCTCATCCTGCCCGACTCCCCAGGGAGAAAGGGCCCAAGCAGACAAGCCACTGCTGTGCCCTGCACGTGCTGCCCCGTCTGCCACCACCACACACTTAGCCCAAAGCCCAGGCCAAAGGCACGTGGCGATCACAGGTGCAGGGGTGGGGGTGTCTCACACACACACACACACACACACACACACACACACCTCATGCACTTCTCACACACACACAACCTTGTCTATTCTTCACACACACATGACCCTGTGTACCTTTTACATATGTGATCCTGTGTACCTTAGTCTTCCCTACACACACAATCCTATGCAACTCTCTCACATGCACACGTGACCCTGTGCACCTCTCACACATGTGACCCTGTTCACATACACAAGCGCACACACACACATCAGCCCATGAGCCTCACACGCGTGACCTGTGCATATACACATGCACACGTGCACACACAAAACCCTGTGCACCTCTCACCCATGACCCTGTGCACAGGGTCATGCACACACACGGCCCAATGCACCCTCACACACGTGCCATATGCATACATATGCACACGCATGCGCACATGACCCTGTGCACTTCACACACACGACTCCATGCCTATTTCTCACACACACATGACCCTGTGCACCTCTCGCATACATGACCCTTGCGCACACACATGTACCTATGCATTGTTTGCTCTGAAGCGCCCACTTCCATGTCTACATCTCTCTTCCCAAGTCAGGTGTGGACCCAGCACAGCGGTGCCCACGGCTTCCTGAGGTTCCTCTAAGGTCACTGGGCAGGGTCCACAGCCCAGCTGACACAAGGCAGACACTGAGGGTTGAGGAGTTTCGGACCATGGCCCTGGGTGACACTGTGTGAGCTCTGAGGAGACCAAGCCCCAGGAGGCCGGGTCTCACCGGCCTCCGTCACATACCACCTCCCTTGAGGATGGGGTGGGGCATGGCCAGTGAAGCCAGTGAGAACCAGGAGACTGGGGTAGGAGGGACACTTGCCACAGCATGGCACTGGGTGGCAGAGTGCCAGCAGGAACGGAGCAAGGGGCGGGTCCCCCGAACTGACTGCACAGCCCACCCTCAGGGACACGGCATTGGGACACCAGAGCGTCACAGCCAGTGCCACACGGGCGCCTGGCAGCAGGTCAAGTGGGCATCTCGCAACCAGGCCGAGTGGGCACCTGGTAGGCTGAGCAGGCACCTGGCAGCCGGACCAAGTGGGCACCTGGCAGCCAGGCTCAGCAGGCACCTGGTAGGTCGAGTGGGCACCTGGCAGCTAGGCCTAGCGCACAGCTCGCAGCCGGGCCAAGTGGGCACCTGGTAGTCTGAGCGGGCACCTGGTAGTCTGAGCGGGCACCTGGCAGCCGGACCAAGTGGGCACCTGGCAGCTGGGCCGAGTGGGCACCTGGCAGCTGGGCCAAGTGGACAGCTTGCAGCTAGGACAAGTGGGCACCTGGTAGGCCGAGCGGGCACCTGGCAGCTGGGCCAAGTGGACAGCTTGCAGCTAAGACAAGTGGGCAACTGGTAGGCCGAGCGGGCACCTGGCAGCTGGGCCAAGTGGACAGCTTACAGCTAGGACAAGTGGGTACCTGGTAGGCCGAGCGGGCACCTGGCAGCTGGCTGAGCTGTGGCATGAGCTCTACAGAGTAGCCGTCCCTGCAGACCTCACGGGAACCAAGACTGACCCAGGAGGCAGGTGAACCCCAGGACCCAGGTGATGTCAGGGCCCAGGGACAGGAGACGGCTCTAGGAGAACGCCACCTATGGCTGGCCGAGAGCCCTGTGGAGGTGTCCGTCTAAGGGGCCCTGTCCTGGAGCCTGTGAAAGCAGGGCATCCCCATGCCCCCGCACCCACCAGGGGCCCTGGGAGGCAGCAGGGCCAGGCGAGGTGGGAGACGTCCCTGGTGCAGGGCCCGGGGCAGCAGAAAGGGCCGCGGGGACCCGGAGCACCCAGGTCTCTCTCGGCCCAGGGGACCGGGCCCTGCACTCACCTTTCCCGTTCACGGCCAGCCCCGTGGCCATGGCAGCGGTGGCGGTGGCGGGGCCTGGCCCCTGAGGCACTAGGGGGTGAATACGGGGGCGGCTGCCCATCCTGGCGCGCTCGGCGCCGGGGCCCAGGAGCGCCCCCACCGGCTTCTCGGCCGCCACCTCGGGCGCCATCGTGTCCTCCTGGCCCTGCTCCGTGGGCTCCAGCTTCTCAGGGCTCTCGCTCGGGAAGCCGTCCACCGCGGTCCTGCTCTTAATGGGGCTCTTGGGCACCAGGATCTTGATGCCCGACTTGGCCAGATCCATGTTCTTCCGGCCCGACAGGGATGGGGCCACGCTCTTGCGGAACTTCTGGCCGGCAGGCAGCAGCTGGGGGGCCCTGGGCTCGGCGTCCCTGCTGACCGCGAGCCTCTTGGGGGACACCCTGGCCAGGCTGCTGTGTGTGGAGCGGCAGATCTGCTTCCGCGCGTTGCTGGGCGAGGTGCGGCTGGCACGGGCCAGTGCACCCTCCCGGGGCTTCTCGGCGTGGCGCCGGTTGAAGTCGTGGATGAACTCCTCGCAGTTGACCAGGTGCTGCTCGGGCTCCCACGTGTCGTCCTCACTGCAGTAGCCCTTCCAGCGCACCAGGTACTCCGTGCGGCCCTTCTTGTTCTTCCGCTTGTCCACGATCTTCTCCACCTGCCAGGGAGACGAGAGCGTGAGCGTGGGGGGCACGGCGCCAGCACCGGGAGCGAGCCCCTCCCCAGCCCCGACGCGTCCTAGTGACCACAACATACTGACCACAGAACTGGTGGCCTCAGGACCAGTAACCACAAGCTAGTGACTGCAGGTCCAGTGACTGCAGGACCAGTGACCTCGGGACCAGTAACCACAGACTAGTGACTGCAGGACTAGTGACCACAGGACTGACAGCCTTGGACCAGTAACCACAGGCTAGTGACTGCAGGACCAATGACCTCAGGACTAGTGACCAAAGGACTGGCGGCTTCAGGACCAATAACCACAGGCTAGTGACCGCAGGACCAATGACCTCAGGACTGGTAACCTCAGGACCAGTAACCACAGGACTAGTGACCTCAGGACTAGTGACCACAGGAGTGGTGACCAAAGGACCAATAAGCACAGGCTAGTAACTAGAGAACTGGTGACCACAGGACTGGTGACCACAGGACTCACGACCTCAAGACCAGTAACCACAGGCTAGTGACCGCAGGACCAATGACCTCAGGACTAGTGACCACAGGACCGGTGACCTCAGGATCAGTAACCACAGGCTAGTGACTGCAGGACTAGTGACCTCAGGACCAGTGACCACAAGACTAGTGACCACAGGACTGGCAGCCTCAGGACCAGTAACCACAGGCTAGTGACCGCAGGACCAATGACCTCAGGACTAGTGACCACAGGACTAGTGACCTCAGGAGTAGTGACCACAGGACTGGTGACCACAGGACCAGTGACCGGAGGACTAGTGACCACAGGACTAGTGACGGTAGGACCAGTGACTGCAGGACTAGTGACCAGAGCAGTGACCTCAGGACCAGTGACCGCAGGACTAGTGACCTTGCGACCAGAGACCGCAGGACGAGTGTCCTGGTACCTTGAAACATAGCACAGCCCCGATGCAACCCCCACCCAGACACTGTCTCTGTGAAGGGGAACTGGGAGGTCCCCGGACAAGCCTGACTGGACCTCATGCCCACGGTCCTGGAGAAATCTGAGTCCATGACGAACCCCCAGATGGAACGGCTGACAACTCCAGGGGAATCAAGCTGCAGCTCCTCCCCAAGGACGGAGAGCATGAAGCCCTGCACAGGGCACGTGGACGGACCCAAAAAGAGAAAAAGAGCGGAACGAGGAACCCACAGACCCGGCCTGCCCCCCGATAACAGGAAATCCACAGCCACACTCGACCAGCACTCACGGAGCATGGGGCAGGACTGGGCAGGGCCCGCTGACCCACACGGCCAGGGCAAGGGGCTTCAGGGTGGTCTGGGCTGCAGCACAAGGCCAGTCTCAGAAAGTGGCACAGGGACCTCTCACGTCACCTCGGGGTCAGATGGGGAGAAACAATGCAAGGGTCAGAGGGGAAGAAGTGGGCGCCTGGGCCCATGGACGCCCCCTCCCAGGCAGATTCAGAATGTCCACATCCCTGATGGGCCTCTTTGGTGTCCGGATCAACAAACAACAGGCAACCAGGAGCTCAGGCAGAGGCAGGGGAGGGGAGGGCTGGCTGTGGGCGGCAGGAGACCCTTTGTACCCGGCACGGGGCTGGCACCAGATTGCCCAACTCTGCTTCCCCTGAAATGCAGCTCACGCCCCATGAGCCTGCGCCCAGAGCGGCAGAGATGGCGGCAGCCCTGATGGCACAGGGGACCCCCAAACCAGACCTAAGACAGCAGGTACAGGCCCTGACCGCCCCACCCTGCTCAGTACGTGGGTGAGACCTCACGGGGACATGGGCGAGGCGGGTGACGCCTCAGAGGTCCCAGGCCAGAAGACATGGTGGGGGGACTCGCACAGACGTCTGCAGGGACGGCACCCCCACGGCCGTACTGAGCAAGGGCCACCGGGCAGATGCCGGGCCAGCAAACGGGGGTCTGGCCTCTCCAGCAGAAGTCCACAGAGAGTGCAGGGACACAGAGTGGGGTCACAGGGCGTACAGCATGCACACTCGCGCCTGCCACCCTGCCCGTGTCCATCACCAGAGTGGACGGCAGTTGTGTGGGCACTCAGGAAAGCTGCTGCTCCCGACGGTGCCGTGGCCTTATGGGAAGGAATCCCATCACCCACCTGCCACATGTGGACAGCTCCAAGTCTGCGTCTGAGGAAGGAACCTTTAGCAACAGCCACCCCAAGGAGCATGTCCACACAGTGGGGCTGTGGCTTGGGACATCACAGGTCAGGGCAACTGACCACAAAGAAAGTCCCGTCAGACGGGCCGTGGCCCCAGCGCAGCACAGTCTGTGCCCCCGAGCAACTCAGCGCGTCTTCTCCCTGTGCCCACGTCACAGGGTGACGGGAGGCTCACATGAGGACGAAAAGATGCTCTGGACACCTGGAGGACCCCAGCCCAGGGAGTGGACACTGGGAAGAGCCTAGGGCTACAGCCCATCATCTTTTCACCATGCGGCCTCTCGCCAGGACTTCATCTAGAATCTTGGGAATTTACAAGAAACAGGAGTTACCTAAACTGGCAAAGTCCGACGTCCCTTGACGTGACGGGGGCCGTGGTGCCTGGGGCTGGAGGACAATGGCCGTCCAGGCTGGCAGCCAAGCGGGGCCACAGGAACAGGCTGTGTCCAGGCTGCTGCAGATCCTGATTCACCCACCTCCCTGCCCACCGACCCTGCCAGAGGAGGGTGCTGCACACACCCCACCCCAAGGTCCCTGCTGCAGTGACGGCCATCGGAGCTGCCGGACGGCATACAGGGCAGCGAGTCCACTGCCGAAGATACAGCCTGACCTGAGCTGCAGGCACAGATCTGGTCACTGGGCTGCCCACACGCACGCGTGCATGTACACGTACGCAGGCCCTCCCCCACGGGTGCACACGTACACACAGGGTGGTGCTGCCCGGGGCTCCCTCCATCTCTCCAGCCCCGGACGTGCATCTCTGGTGCTCCCACTTGGGCAGAGAAAGGCCGTGCGGAGACGGCTCACGCTCTGACCTATCAGCTGGCAGGGAAGGCTCAGGTCTCCCGGCGGATCGTCCGTGGAGACGCGGCAATGATGAAACTGGGGAGAAACGGACACGGCGAGCTCAGCCCAGAGTCAGGTGAGCACAGGAGGACCCGCTCCTGGTAACCACACCCAGGACGGGGAAGGAGGGGAGGCTCTGCACGGTGCAGCTGCCCAGGACAGCCCAGTGCCACACACCAGGCACCCGAGGGGCATCTGAGGGCAGGGGCTGGAACACTCGTGAGTACCCTGAGGGCAGAGGCCGGCAACTGGTACTCTGGAGTACCCTGAGGGCAGAGGCAGGCACTGGCCATCTTGAGTATCCCTGTTACTCATGAGTACCCTGAGGGCAGGGTAGAGAACTGAGACTCTGGGGTATCTGAGGGTAGAGGCCCGGCCCTGACAGGAGTGCCCTGCAGGCAGCAGAGATCCGGTCTGATACTGGACAGGTATACCCAGAAGGCGGACTGAACACTAACAAAGGAGGGCAGAAGGGAGGCTGGGCATGTGCCTCCCAGTGCGCGAGGCGCAGCCCCTCCCCGCCCCCTGCAGCTACCAAGCCCCCTCCTCTCTAAGGGAGATGCACCGGGCTGACCCGCCCTCTGCCTGTCCCAGGCCCTTGCAGGGCTGGGTGAGGGAATACTCAGGAGCCTTCAGAGTAAGAGGCTCGGGAATGGGATTGGGGCAGGACAGGGACAGAGCCACACCCAGCCAGCGAGCAGAGGTCAGAGCATGTGGCTGTGACCTGCGATTCCACGGTGCGGAGAAGATGCTGGCTGGGTGCAACACAGGTGAGGAGCCAGCAGCATGTCAGCCAAGCAAGGGAAAGAGCTCTGCCTGGAAGCAGCATACCAGGGTCCTGCGGGCAAGATGGGGGAGATCCTTGGGCTGGTGGGGTCACAGCGGGTCAGAGGAGGGTTCTCAGTCAGGTGCTGCCAGAGGTCAGGGATGGACCTTTGATGTGAGCGGTTCCCAGGGCATGGTGTAGATCCAAGCATTAGGTGTTCCCCGGGTATCAGAGTGTACCCACAGTGACAGCAGTTCCTGGAGGATCAGGAGGTATATCCAGAGCACTAGGAATTACCAGGGTACCAGGAACATTAATTATCCAGAGCATTAGGAGTTGTGAGCATCAGAAGTATATCCAGAGTTAGTAGTTCCTGGAGAACCACGTGATACAGCCCAAGCATTGGAGTTTCAGAGTAGCAGAAGTATATCCATATTGTTAGCAGTTCCTGGGGTATAAGGAGGTGTATCACAGCATTAGGAGTTCCAAGAGTATCAAGAGGAGACAGAGCCACAATATTAGGAGTTCCCAGAGAATCATGAATGTATTCCAGAGTGTTAGGGCTTCTCAGAGCATCGAGAGTTCTATCCAGAGCGTCAGGAGTTCCCAGAGCACCGAAAGTACTATCCAGAGTGTGAGGAGCTTCCAGGTAGCAATTCTCCAGAGTACCCTGAGGCACATCCATAGTGTCAGCCCTTCCCAGCACACCAGAGGTATTATCCAGAGTGTGAGGAGTCCCCAGAGTACATCCAAAGCACATTTGGAGTGCTGCCCATTCCAGAGTATCAGCAGACTCTGGCTTTAGGGGCTTCCAAAACAATGAAATTTAAGCCTGAACTCAGACGGGAACGCTAGTGCAGCCACGAAGCAGTCGGCCGGTACTCTCTGCACCCTGCCCATGTGTGCTTCCACTCCAGTCCAACCCAGGCAGGTTTGCTGCTGCTGTTCCAGAATGAGACGGACTCAAACCTTCATTCTAGGCACGTCAGCGTGAACTTACCTGTCTCTCATCACTCCCAAACAGAAAGGACCACCCACCCCAGGCAAGCAGCACCGCAGGAGGGACAAAGACCAAGAGCAGAGACACTTCAAATCCCAGGGCTCTGGCAGGGAGGGACAGACAGGCACGCGCGCGCGCGCGCACACACACACACACACACACACCCCACACCACGCAGGCAGCATCTGTGTCCAAGGTGCCAATGTTGTT